ACCCTACAACACCTTTGCTACAAACAAAATGTTGTAAGCCTCTTGCTACTCTGTCATTATTTCCATGGAAAATGTTCTAGCAAGCTACATTTCTTAGTTCCACCAGTTCAGGCCTTTACAGCTAAGATCCAACATGCCATATAACTAGGGGTGAATCCTCCTAAATAATTAAGTAATTATTTGTAAAGGATCCTTAAGACTTGAAATCAGTGTAATGACTGCAAAGAAAAAAGGAAATGAAAGGAATAGGTTTTAATGTCATGTTATTATCTCTTCAGTATTTATTGACACATCTTAAGGCATTAATAAAACTTTTCATCACTTCCTTTAATTCTTTATATAAATATTTTATGAGATGAAGATTTGTTTGTCTATTTCTGGGTATCTCTATATTAAATACAATTCTGGAGTTTTCCTGACCAAAATAAAGGAGGGGCAGTATTGCAATTAAATACCAATGGGTATTTTATTATAGTTTCTACAAAAAAAGTCTTATAAGTGAGTCCTGAATAAAATCCCTTAACTTTCACTAGTATTTCAATATGCTCACTATATGAAAATCTTACAATGGAACTATGAAGTAAATCTTTTAAATATGCTATTGTATATTGACATACTCATTAAATGAAAGAGTTACATCTGATTGCGTAAAACAATCTTTTAAATGTGCCTTGTATTTTGACGTACTCATTAAATGAAAGAGTTACATCTGATTGCGTAAAACAATCTTTTAAATGTGCCTTGTATTTTGACGTACTCATTAAATGAAAGAGTTACATCTGATTGCGTAAAACAATCTTTTAAATGTGCCTTGTATTTTGACGTACTCATTAAATGAAAGAGTTACGTCTGATCCTATAAAATATCTATTAAATGTGGCCTGTATTTTGATATATTCATTAAGTGAAAAAATTACATCTGATCTTGTAAAAAAATCCTTTAAATGTAGCCAGTATTTTGACATATTGTTTATATGAATGTCTAAAAAATGAGCCTTAAGAAAACAAAATCCCTTTTTACCAATGTTTGCATATGGTAATGGTAATATTAGCCATTTTTCTACAAGGAAACATTTGGCATTCATTGACTGAGCAGCTAGTACGGCTTTTGGTTGGAATTTATAAAATCTTTCCCTTAAAATACTTTTTTTTTTTTTTAGGAAAATAAGTTTCTCAAGTCCAGTAGCTGTTATCATTCTTTTCAGTATTGATTGGGATTTCCTTCCTAACCTTCTAATTGAAGTGGGTGGAATGTTAATGTCTTGATTATGTCATTATTTTCTCTTTGAGTTACATGTGCTATTCATTTTAGTTGTTGCTGCTGTTGGTAGTCCTCCAGTTTTATGGTTTCTGTTATTTGGTACAGTTCTTTGTTCATGATTCTGTGGCATCGCTCTATAATGTTTAAAGAAGTATGGTTTACTTGCCATAGCCAATTTTAATCATTGACCCATGAATGCACTTGTATACAGCTGACAGGTTAGATATTTCTGAATGGGTGTGGTGCCATGCATGACAGTCATGAATGTCTTGATCTGATGAGGCCATTTAAAAACATGACTCAGATTTTCAGGTTGATGAGTGAAGATTGGAATAGGTGGGGGTGGAAGAAAAATCAAAATATAATAAAATTGAGAAAATATTTCAGAAGACATATTATGGAATTGTTCAAGTTGGAATTCCTTGAGAATATTAATAAGTGCATGAAGTTGGAATAAGAATGTCCTGGGTGGAAATATTTCAAAAAAATTAATTGCTGGGCTGGAAGTGGTGGGGGGTGTCTATTTAGAACTCATGGAGGTTGAACAACTGAACCTTGAAAAAATCCCTTCACTGGTATTTTGATCTGCTCTGTACATGAAAGTCTGACAACTCATGCAATGGACTCCTTTTGTGGCTAATATCTCAATGGAAATAAATTATTCTTATTGTTAACTTGTAAAATTGTCTTCTCATTATTTTTTTTCCCTTGGTTCTATATCTGACTTAACAGAAGTGGATTTGAGAAGAATGCTTGATCATCTGAATTCTGGGATACAAGGAAACAAAAGCAGAAGAAATTATGAAAATTATAGATACCAGTTTAGAAATTCTGAAATTGTAAAACAATGCTTTTTTTTGTCATAAGCCAGTGTTTAGTTTACATATAAACCAGAACTTAGAATGTTTGCTGAATTACAATCATGAATTACTAATATAAAGAACTTGCAGGAGAGACATAATTTCTGTTGAAAGAAAAATTTGTGTTACCCATGTCACCTACTTTACCAACAAGACAGTTTGAAACAATTAATGAATTCCTTGACAATATCTTTACTGCTCATTTGTTGGAGTGATGGTGAAAAAAGTGTGTGAGAGAGAGAGAGGGGGGGATTAATTACCCCCCCTCCACTCTGTCTTTTTTTCTTTCTTTTTTTTAAACAGTTTTATACTTTGAAGAAGACCACACAAACTCTTCATAGTTTCATAATTATTAAAGTTTTTAGAGGCCACCTTTCAGTAATATTGGATTAATTTGAAAATGGAAGTCTATGGTGTATATAAAATTTCCTATTTACATTGTTCGAACTATCATCCTCATTTTTGTTGCCATATGTATAACAATTTTTCGGCATTTTTCAGGTGGTTGGAATGTCGAACCAAACCCTTTATTTTGCTTGCTGGAGTAGACTGTTCTAGTTCCATGTGCCATGTTTAATGGATGTCAGTTAACAGTTATCTCCTGTTAATTCCCCGCTCCAAATTCTCCACCGCCTTAAGCAGGTATTCTGTCACTGGATCATCTAATTAATACCTTTATCCACTGTGCCATCTGTCCTTGAGGACATCTGTGTATGAATGTCTGGGACTTATAAAGCTAATGTCTTCAGTAACCATTTTTACCAGTGCTCATATTGCAATTTTGCTGTTATCATTGCATCTTTTTTTTTTTAACCAGAGCTTATATTGCAATTTTCGTTATTATTGCTTTTAACTCCTTATTACTGGTTCCCATATTGTATTCATTTCCATGCTTGGACACCGGACAGTACCTCAATTTCAACACCCACCATCCATACAGTGTAAAGAAAAGGATTGTTCGCTGCTTACAGCATCAAGCAAAAGTCATAAGTGGCAACCTAGAGACATTAGATAAAGAATTGGTCAGTATAAGCAGTACCCTACAGTGTAAAAACTACCCTGGGTATATGGCAGCAGCCCCAATAAACTGGGATAGGCAGGTACAAGAGGAGGACAACAACACTCAGAAAACAGTCTGCTTGCCTTATGTGAAAGGGTTGTGGAGAAAATACAAAGGATCCGTGGTCTATATAACATCAGGATATCCTTCAAAAGCTGGATGACACTTTGCAGATACCTCTCCCAAGTAAGATCCCTCCCATGGAGGAGAACATGACAAAAGACTGTGTGTATGCCATCCCGTACAGTTGTGGAAAGAAATATAAAGGGGAGACAAGCTGCCCTCTTAAGGTAAGGCTTCAAGAACACCAAAAAGCTGTAACATGAGGGGAAGTGGAAAAACATATGGAGAAAAAAGGAAGATCACTGCCCTCTGTGGGTTCAGATTGAAATCATAGACAAAGAACACCATTGGAAAATTCGTAAACTTAAGGAATCAGCACATATGTTAGGTCACAAAAATCTCCTGAACCAACCAAGGATAGAAATGAATACAATATGGGAACCAGTAATAAGGAGTGCCAGAGAAAAGCAATAACAACAACAAAAATTGCAATATGAACTCTGGTTAAAAAAAAAAAACAGGATGCAATGATAACAGCAAAAATTGCAATATGAGCACTGGTAAAAATGGTTGCTGAAGACATTAGGTTTATAAGTCCCAGAAATTCATACACAGATATCCTCAAGGACAGATGGCACAGTGGATAAAGGTATTAGTTAGATCCAGTGACAGGACCCAATGATTATGAGTTCAATACCTGGTTATGGTGGTGGAGAACTTGGAGAGGGGAATTAACAGGAGATAACTGATAACTTACATCCATTAGACATGGCATGTGGAACTAGAACAGTCTACCCCAGCGAACAAAATAAAGGGTTCAGTTCGACATTCCAACCACCTGAGCGTACAACGGTTGAAACATTGTCAGAAATATGGCAACAAAGATGAGGATGATAGTCTGAACAATGTAAATAGTGTACATAATACCACATCTCAGAAATATAGATGGTAATTTAAGTGCAGTACTAGATTGGTGGCAAGGTGTCATTTTACTATTGAAATGGATAGATGTAACAGTAAGTTCTATGCTAATAGTTTCTTCTGTTGCACTTTTCATTTGTGGAACTCTCTTCTGGTTTTCCAACTAACTTTGATGTTCAAAAATTTAAATACAAATTTAATCGTTATTTTCTGTCTTCTTAATTCTTGTTCTTTTATTGTTCTCTTTCCTTAATGCTATATTTTTCTTATATTTTGTAATACTGAGTAACTCATTGCATCTTACTCATTGCCTTACTTGGAGTGAAATGATTAAAAAAAGACAACTCTATATGTCAAAAAATCAACCAATCTAATGAAGCCAAATAAATTTCTTTGTCTTCTATAATTCAAGCTATTAATATACATAAAATGGTTATTTAATAAATATTAAAGTGAACAGAATTTCTGCCAATAAAGTGCTCAATATTTGATTAGAACAAATATTATTGAATCAGATATAATAAGGTTCAATACTTATTGATGTTGTCTTTGAGTTTTCTGAAAAGAAATGATTGAGAAAATTCTATAGAGTTGACATTGATACATATTGAACCATATATCTTATCTTTTATTCAAATTGCAATCTCTCATTGTCATGGCATTCTTTATTTTCTAGTGACCTCATAAGTATATTTGAAAAATGTTTAAAAGATTTATATCTGCCTTAGAGAAAAGTATTAAAAAATGCCTGTCCTCAGAAGTGAACATTTTTGTAGGAATTCAAGATTTTCTTTCATAAAAAGAATCAAATTCTTTTTTTTTTTTTTTTTTTTCAGGTTGTGTAAAGAAATTGGTGGATTTTGTCCAAAGGGAAAAAAATCTATGGGACTTTACATCATCTTTATCATTTGTCTCAATTCTGTTGTGTGTTTTGGACGGAGCTGATGAGGTAAATACCTGTGATCTCGAATTTTCTTTTTACATTATCCTGTTGTTATTGAACTATTTGTATGATAAACAAACTTTATAGTCTTGAGAGTCCTTGTCTGAATTTTTTTTATACAAGTTGTTTCAATTGTTGTATATAGTTAAGTTGCATCTAATTTACTTTTCCTGATTTTTTTTTTTTGTTGTTTCATCTCATTTCAAACATGTATCCTTGAGCCTTCTTTGGGTGTCTGTTGTGCTATACTTTCCTAGAGTAAGATATGATATTCCAAGATGCCTGAAGGACAGTTTATGTCGTAAAACTGTGATAAAACAACAAGACTGAAGAAATCAGTTCGACCTAGCATATATATATATATATATATATATAATATATATATATATATAGAGAGAGAGAGGCAGCATATCTTCATTCAAACATGTTTCATTGAATAATATAGACATATCTATTTTTATATTTGTTAGGGCCAGAAATAAAGAAACAAAGAGAGGAATTGAGTTAAATATATTAACAGAAACACTAATACAAACCTATACAAACAAGAGTGTTAGGGCAAGAATGTTCAGTCTGATTGTCAGAGCTGACTGCTGGAAACTTCTCTCTTCAAAAGGCAATAACTGTTCCTATTTATAGCTGGGAGAGTCCATGCATGCATGGGTAAATTACCATAACAATATTGATCCTTTCCAGTTTTTTAACCAGTTCCTTGACGTTAAGATGAAAAACATCAAGGAAGGTGCCATAGTTTTTTCTTACCCAAGTACTTTTGATATTCTCCAATATCACCCTCAGGGGTAAATTACAAAGACAAATTTACTGTAACTGTGATAAAATCTGCATTTCATTGTGATGGTGATTTTAAAAAAAAAACCTGTGAACACACTCTGTTACAATTATTTTAAAATTTTAAATTTATCTATTGTGGCTATGGAATTTTTTGAAAAACAAGTGTCTTTATAATTCAGGTTTACCTCAGATATCTACAGTATTCAGGAATGTTGAATCTTTCTCTGCGGGGGCATGTACATCTCCTCATATACGTTACCTTTTGTATTTTGGGGATTGTCTCAGAAGATCACAGGTTCAAGGCACATTTCAGAAAAGAAAACCAAGAATGTACAGTTATTGATTATGACGTAGCTGAAATGGGAAGTGCATGCCCTCTCAGAACAAGATTTAACATTCTACGACATAGCAGACATTCCAGTAAATCTGGAGGGTATGTGGTCAAAATATTGTAATAAAGTAAAGGCAAAGAATCTAGTGCAAACACACACACACATATATATATATATATATATATATAATTTTTATGATACAATATGGTAATTCATATGGAATTTCCAGGAGGATATAGATCCAGAGAGAACTCTGTCAAAAGGCAGAGCAAAATTATTATTAAAGAATATGAAACACTTAAAATCTCATAGGTAATAATTTTTATATCATGAGAGCTTTAAAAAAAGCAGCTCTCAGTCTTCAAGACCTACAAAAAATACACACACACACACACACACACAATGGTGAGTAGTTTAGATCTTTGTATTTGTACTGCTTAAAGTAATCATACTCTTTATAAAATATAATTTCTCTTTTTAAATGTAGATTAAATCTGACATAATGATTAGATAAGAAACAAATAGAATAGGAAAATGATTATAAATTTGACATGTTTTACTAACTTTATTGTAGCTTCATCAAAAATTTTTGAAAATGCAGGACACCTGGTAAAAGTTTTGCTATTTTGGATTATGTGCTGTTTTCTTATATAATGTGTATTTTTACCAGCAAGAATTCTTTCAAACATGTTTGGTTGAATAATATCAAAGTTCTGTCAAATGTTTTTATTAACTTTTTTAAAATTTCTGAATTACTGTATTTGACGGTGTATAAGGTGCACTTTGCTTTTACTAAAAATATCTTTTAATATTCCCCTGCGTCTTATATGCCATATGTAAGTTTGAAATTTAAGATAGTCAGCCGAAATTAGCTACCTAGCAACTCCTATTAGCTTAGACTTGAACATGAAGGAGCAATGGAATACGTAGATGGCAATACCTGATCTCAACCTTACAATTACAGGAAAAATAAAAAGACCCAGCATTGCACAAATCTGTGAATAGGTGAAGCAAGCTTGGGATAATATTAAACCAGAAATTGTTGTGAAATCTTTTAAAAAGTATGGCATTAGCAATGCTCTCAATGGAATGGAAGATGATGTATTATTTAACAACGATGATAGTCGTATTGAAAACGAGTATCAGAGTTTTGATAACGAAGATGACAAATTTTATGGATTTGAAGATGAATTAAATTTTAATGGTAACTGTACTGTTTTGCTCAATTGTAATAATTGCTTGATTTTTATTTTGTTTTCTTATCTTTGGATATAATAAAGATTTTATAGGCTCGTGTTTTTTTTTTCTTATTATTTTTCATTCAGTTGTAATCATGGCTTATTTAACCAAAATAATACTTCATAAATATAGCCTAGGCTGTACCATTTACTAATAATTTTACTAATTGCTAATTTTTTCTTGATTTTTCCTGCTGAAATTGGAGTGCATCTTTTACACTTATGTGTCTTATAGGCTGTCAAATATGGTAAAGAGAGAGAGTAAGAAAGAGATAAGGGTTTTAAAGGAAAGCGTAAATGCCTTATTTTAATTTAAATTCTTTATTGTATATATATTTTATTTTTATTGGGACTCACTATAAAATAATGGCCTGAAAAGTTGTAATGAAAAGCAACTGAAATTAAGATGAAAGAAATATTTGCCAGCCATCATTCATTTTTGATAATGCTTCATTTAATAAAAAATTAATATAATATTAACTCTATGTTAGTACTGTGTGGCATTATATTCTCCTGCTGAAAATTATATACATAAAACATGAAAATTCAGAGTTTCTGCACTGAGCAATTTTTTGTTTTGTTTTATAGGTGCGGTGTCTAGCTACTGATATTTTGTACAAATATTTTGACTGGAATCCAAATCATTTATCAGGTTCACGTAAAAACCTTCCTGCACATCTTCTGAGTGAGGCTTTATGTTTGTGCAATAGTCCTCGTAACCCAGAGAGCCAGAGTGGGAGCCTCATATGTAAACTGGTTTTCTGCAAGTGAGAACAAAAGTTTCTTTATCTATTTTGTTTTTATGGAAACATTCATTTTCATTGGGATAGGCTTTGAAAATTTTACAATTGCTTTTGTGTGTGTGTGTGTGTATACACGCATGTGTACCCTTCGCATTTTTACTCTATGTGTCATCTGCATTGATAATTTAAAAAATATAGTGGTACAAACATTTTTTAATATTTGTGAAACATCTCTTTCATCTGTGTGTGTATAAATTTGCATGTATGTCTATATGCATATGTTCATCAGTGTGTGTGGGTACATATATATATATATCTATATGCATGTTTCATTAAAAACGACAGACAAGGTAGTATGGTTAAGCTTTTTATTTAATTTTTCTTGTGTTCGAACAAGAGCTTTCTTTTCTGGACAAAGGTTGTGTAAGAACTGTCCAAATGTTTTATATTTCCGAGTGCTTTTGGCTATACCTTTAGCCATTATCAAGGATGATTCAATTTTTCAGTTTAATTGAGTGTGTGTGTTCTGTGTATGTCTTAGTGTGTGGTAGGGATGTTTTTAATTTCCGAATATGATTAGCACATTGTGGCTTTGTTTGTAGTTAATATTGTTAAGAGTTGGCTTTTTCTTTTTTATTATTAAAGCTTCCATTATTTTTAGTCTTTTTTTGCAAGTGGATGCAGTTAATATATTTGTGTTTTCTACTAGTATGTTCCTAATGGAGTCTGGTAAATTTGTGTGTGTTTTTAAATGGGTTTTAATGGAGCTGTGATCAGATAGGTGTAACGTAAAACGTCTGGATAAGCATGTTGTTGTGTAACCGATGTAATTATTTATGAGTCCGGTTTGATCAGGAACACAGTTCCTTAAGGGGCATTTATATATATATGCACACACATACACTACTAATTAATATATATTTGTTCCTTACCCAGTAAATATAGAGTTATGTCATTTTATATTGAGCAACGTTTTATTACTAAAACTAACTTCATGCTATTTTATATACTGTATTTTCTGGCTTACAAGATGCACTTTTTTCCTAAAATAAAAATACCTCGAAAAATACATGTGTGTCTTCTAAGATGAGTGTGAGCAATGCCCAGGCTCAATTAAGCTTGGACGGTCACCTAATTGGCTTGACTGATAGGGATGTGGATTTGTATGTTGAGTCATTACACTATAATGTTAGCTATCTAATTCAGCTTTTTATATGATGAAACCTCAGTAATTAGCTGTTACAAGTATTTCCAAGACTATAAACCTTCCTGGATCTGAGCCACAAGCTTAAACATGCTCTGTTTACTAGCAGCGGTGGGAGCCTTTCTGCTCTTGACTAGTATGTCATTGCCATCTAAACAAAATTGGATGAGGCATTAATGTAAACAATACATGGCACCAGTATGTGAGGGACGCATGGTGAATATGTTGTATGAGAATTTTTTTTTTTTTTTTAAAATTTCTTTCCAATATTAGGGTGCATCTTCCAAGCCAGAAAATACATATCTTACTTATTATAAAACGCAGAAAACGCAGATTGTGTGTGTCTGTAACGTTTATATATTGGATCGAATTTCCTACATTTTTTCAACCGATTTCAACAAAACTTCACAGGACTACATAAAATTACCTTGTGGTGGTTCTAACAGCGCCAAAAATGGGAAAAACACATTGTTTTTTGCACAAAATCAATTTGAAAACACGATTAAGACACATCGTTAAGAATGAAAGGGGATAACTCACCCACGAAAATGTAAACAAAAGAGCATAGCATGATGAAAAAAAAAAAAAAACTTTTTGAAAACAAAAAATTTTATTAATATATAATCTAATGTTCATATTATTATTAAAGAGGAAAGATCAAAGTATTTATTCCATTTTTTTTTTTTTTTTTTAATCGTTTCTATTCAATTCTGAAATTTTACGTTTGAAAATATTGTTTTTTTTTTTTTGGTCAAAAAAAAAATCAATCAAACTCAATCATTTTTTAGATTTGATAAAATAGGGAAAGATAATTCCAACATACTTTATGATTGTACGTTTTTCAATTCCCTTTGCAATTTGTTATTTTTAAGGCAGATCAATAAGGCATTGGTTCTATTTGAAATTAATTTAATATTTAAAAAAAAAGTATTAAAAATAATTTAAAAAATGCCGGTGTCCAAAGAAATTTACTGATATTCACAAAAAAAACAATATTTTTTGAAGATGATAATTATTAAGGAAAAAACAGTAACTTTGTAATAAATTAATAAACCCAAATAAAGTTAATATTTTTTGTATTAGAAACAACGAGTGGAAAATATATTCAAATCAGAATTCTAATTATGAATCACCACAAGCAAAATATGCAATTTTTTTTTACTGTATTCAATAAGTAAAAATCATAAATTGTAAAAGATTACAGAGAAAGGCTATCTACATTTTTCAACCGATTTCAACAAAACTTCACTTTTTTTTGGCAGGTAGTGTTTCTTATTGTCTTGCACATTTTTTTCTTTATTTTTACATTCAGAATGCTTTAAAAATTCCATTTACAAGACAATTGTTTATAATAAAATTCTATTCACCAATCGATAGACTCATAACGATTGTAAACAATGTTTTTGTTTGAATTTTGGTTTGACCAATTCGTAAAAAAAAAAAAAAATACTAATTAAGACATGTGTGTCCGTCAACCTTAAACAATAATCTTTGTCAATTTTATTTTTCAGTCTTTATGATCGTCCATACTTGATCTATCTCTTACTGTTACATCCCCGGGCAATGCCGGGCTCTACTGCTAGTATAATATATATACACACAAACTTGAAAAGGTATAAAAGAACGATGTGTTTCACCAAGAGTGTTTAATCTCTCTGGTTTATTCAGGTCAGAATAAAAGAAAAACAAAACTGTATGTTAAGGAGAAATGTGTTTTCTTCAGGTTTCATACAGTTTTGTCTTACTTTCTCTCTAAGTTGAAGAAACTGGAGGGAGCAGACACTCTCTGCGAGACATGTCATTTATATCTTTTCCATTTTGTCTCATAATCTTCACTTTTGTTTTGGATACTATTATACATCCTACACCCCCCCACCACCACCACCACACACGCACACATAACAACTAAGAATCTGTCTTAGGACATTGATCCAAAAAACTAATTCTGAGTTTCAAGCTAATTATGATCTTCAGACAGTTAAGATTTGACCCACCATATGTGTGGGTCAAATATATATATAATTGTCAGTCTTAGACCATTTCATAATATATATATATATATATATATATATATATATATATATATATATATATATATATATTTTTTAAAAAAAACAGACCACTTTAAGACTCCATTGTAATAGTTTATTTCAGCAGGGACCGTTTAAAGTACCCTGGATCTTCAGGCATCACTTTCAAAAGGTGAAATGAAAAATAAAATGAAAATTTACACTTTTGACGGGTAGTATTAAGTTTATGTAATTTAACAGAGAGGGTAGCAAGGAGTGGTGTGAGAGACATGGTCGAGTTTAGTTTTGTTACTTAACTGTGTGTGTGTGTGTATATATATATATATATATATATATATATATATATATATAGAGAGAGAGAGAGAGAGAGGCAGCAATTCTTCTTTCATGTACATTTTATTGAATACAACAGACAAGGTTTTCAGCTCTACATTTAGCCATTTTCAAGGTTGAAATATATTAACTGTTAACAAAAAATAGTTTGTTGTATGTATGTATTTATATAATGTTTTCCTTTTCAAAATACGATGTTGTGTCCCTGTTCATAGTTGATATTATTGAATGTTGTTTTTTCTTTTGTTTTTATTAATAAGGCTTCCATTATTTTTAGCCTTTTTTTGCATGTAGATTATTATATTTGTGTTGTCAACAGGTATGTTATGAATGGGTCTGGCTGGTCTCCATGAATATTTAGATGAGATCTAATTGAGCTATGGTCAGAAAGGTGTGGAGTGAGTGTTCATGTCAAACATGTTGAAGTATGGCCTAGATAATTATTTATGAATTTTGATTGATCAGGAATACAATTCCTTAATGGACATTTAAATTATATATATATAATTTATATATATTTATTATTTAACTAATATATATATATATATATATATATATATATATACATACACATAGACCTTCAAAGTGCAAGGTATTGTAATGTTTGTCATATAATATGGAACTGACAAATTGAATTTGAATTCTGTTTGTGACTGCTGCTGGTATCACTTTTGCATTAGTACCCCTATGAAAGGCATGAATCTAATTATCCCTATTATCAGCATTTACCTGGATGATTAGATTTTTCAGAGGCATGCCACAATGTTAGAGAAAAGAGTGGATGACACAGTATCGCAGCAAAATGACATATGGAAATACCAGTGTTTACCTGCATGTGTGTGTGTGTATATGAATGACTTGCTTAACATGTTCTACATCAACGAATGTTCATTAATATTTTACTACCTTACCTTTTAAGAGGCAAATAACATTAATTATATAATATCCCCTTTTTGCATTTAATGCCTTGTCTTCATTTTGTCCTCCACACACTGCTGTGACTATTATACATTTTCCAGCAATTCTGTTTATCTTTTTTTGAACGCCCATTGTTCTCAAGTTGGCCTCTACATGTCAGCCAGAAAAATGGTGATTTGAGGGTGTTAAATTTACATTATATATGGTGGTTTTCTAAGCATAGCTTAGATGTGGCACAAGGCTGAAAGTATGGGGTAGTCAATGAAGATCAAACTTACTATTCAGTTGTAACTAATCTAGCAAGACAAGCTTGCTAACCATTACACCATGTTGAATTACCTAAATTTTAGTTGTATATGCTTACAAAACTTCATCCTGATATTGCACAGCTTTTAGGATCAATTGTTTAGTTTCTTTCTGAATTTCCAAGATGAGGCATTATCATTATTTATATTATTTACATTCAGATTAACATCCTCATCTTTGTTGTTCCCCACTCACCTGCTTTTTCCATTCCTTTTTGTGCGCTCCTGGAACTGACTAATGTCTTGATTGGTATGAGTCATTCACAATGTTCTAAGCCTCACCCAGAAAGCAAAGCCATAGCTAAACATTTTTGTTGTGGCCACACACTACCATTTCTTATAAAACTAGAAAAACTAATTCAGATTTCTATCTTAATTTCTGTGCAGGTGAGGCCCATAAAAAAGTGAGAAGTGTGTGACAAATCTAAAAATGGACAAAACAAACCCCGAGTAGTCATAAAATATCTGAAAAAAAAAAAGGTATGACACTCAAGGAAATCTGTGAGGAGATGGTATAGACAGTTGCTGAGGTCTCTCCATTCCTATGTAGCTGTGAAGAAGTGAGCTGCAGAATTCAAGCAAAGCAGGGACAGCACAGAAGATGACCCTCAGTCAGGTCATGCAAAAACCTCAACTGCTGAGGAACAAATTGATGTCATTCACCGTATAGTTTTGGATGACAGACGTCTTACTGTCCAGCAGAAAGTTAAGTCCATAGGCTTTAGTTTTGGTTTGGTGCATGCTGTTTTAACTGTGATGTTGAAGATGAGCTAGCTGTCTGCAAGATGAGTCCCAAGAATGCTGGAAACCAGAGCAGAAGCTGAAAAGGGTTGACTTTTTTAGGAGACTTCTGATTTGCTTCCAGGCTGATCCTAAGAATTTCTGTCACAGATTAGTAACGTGAGATGAAAGCTGGGTTCACTACTTTGAACCTGAATCATTCACAGCAAACAGTTCTCCACCCCACAGAGAAGTTCAAGCAGGCATTATCTGTTTGCAAGATGATGGCTTCTGTTTTTTTTGGATTCTGAAAGTGTAATCATGATAGTCTACCTGGAAAAGGGAAAAACTATTAATGGACGGTACTATGTGTCATAATTAAGATAACTGAAGGAAGCAATCAAATTGATGTGCAGAAGAAAGCTGAGGGTAGTTGTGCTCTTGCTCCAGGATAAACATGCCTGTTCACACTACTCAGGTTGCAGTAGCTGAAGCAGCCAACTGTGGCTTTGAATTGTTACTCCATCCCCCTTACTCACCAGACTTAGCTCCATCTGACATCTTCCTGTTTCATAAACTCAGATCCCACCTGTGGGGTCACCATTTTGGAAACAATGATGAGATCATATGTGATGCAGAGGAGTTTTTGGAAAAAGAGGACACCACATTCTTCCGTAATAGGATTGCAATGATTAAGCATTGTTGGACCAAGTGCATTGATATCAAGGGGGACTATATTGAAAAATAGTGAAAAACTTCTTCTCAGTAAGGCTGAGAACTTTTGAATGACCCTTGTAAACAAGGTTGAACTAGCTTTAAGAGCCGCTCAATCGTCACTTTCCAGCTTTGATAGAGTTCAAAATTGTTTACACTATATTGTGGTGGAAGACCTATTCTCCACTTTGCAAACTCTTTCTTGGAGCTACTCTGTTGCTATTTCCATGGCAAATGTTCAGATGAAGTCCATTCTTTAGTTTCACCATTTCAGACCTTTACTTCTAGGACATGCCATGCTACTTCCATGGGATTAAATCATCCACATTCCCCCCAATTAAGAAGGAAATTTCATTTGCAGAGCTTTTCCCCACCAAGTACTGACTCTTTGTAGAACAAACTCCCACATGGATGCTTCCATGGACTACAGTTTTAACCTCTTCAAGTCAATCATTATCTATCCTCCATATCTCTACTTCCTTCCAGCTTGTCTTTCATTCATATACACATCATTTATCATTACCATTTTAACCTTTTACCTTGAGTGGCTTTCGAGCCTTGTATGTAACAAAAACATTGGAAACAGGGCAGGCAATAACCAAGCAGTACTAAATAAGAACTAGACAGAGCTATCTCTAGACATGGGCAGTGGAACAAGGACAATCTACTTCTGTAGATTAAATAAAGCGTTCATTTTTAAATTCCCTGTATGTTACCCAGATCAACAAGCACCTGATGAAGGCCAGAGTACACAATGGCTGAAATATTGTGATAACAACAACAAAGATGAAGACAATGGTCTGCATGTAAATAATAACTCCTCATTGCAGAAATTCAGACTCAATATAGCAAGTATAATAAATAATTTAAGGAAAAGTTGTTAACTTAATATTTATCTGTGTTCTGCTAAAAAGCCTTTGCAAATATTATGAGAAATACCTCAAAAGTATAAAGAGTACATTTTCCCCTCTCCCCACTGTCACAGAAGAATTTTAATAACCCAGTCTGAGGTGAAGGTCATATACAGAGCTATGAAGGAATTAAAAATCCACAAAGGGACATTGGCAGTTAGATTTGAGGATTTTAATCACTGAATCTTTCAATTTTTTACCAAAAATTTCTTTGAGTTTTGGCACTCAATCTCTAGGTTTGTGCAGTGAAAATCAGAAAATGTATTATCAGTGGTCAGGAATTATGGCAAGAATTTTTTAGGCTCTTATATTTATGTAAATGCTTTGGTTATGGTTTTATTATAGAATTTCACTGAAAATCAAGAAAAATGGGATTGTCAAAACTTAATACAAGTATGAATGACAGAATGGGGCTATATATATATATATATATATATATATATATATATGAAGAAATATAGTTTTAATGTGTGCTATATTTATGGGATAAAGTGCTCAATATCAGGGATAGAGCGTGCGTAAATATAAAAGTGAACATTGAAGTCAACACTAAGAGGTGACAGTCTGTTTCATGCTAGACGCAATTGTCAGGCCATTATATATATATATATATATATATAATCAGTTCACCCTAAGCAAAGCAATAATGCCAATAAGGAGGGCCACTGAGTGAAAGAGAAGAATGAGAAGACTTTAGAAGGAACTGGAAACCCAATACTAAATCGGAAACAAGTTATAAACCTATACTCCTGTTCAAAAGACATGAGATGAGTGTGAACCAGGGGATAGGTTCACCTATCTATTGCTGTAAAATATATACACACACACACACCTATACACACACACATCATTGTTAGTTATTGTCTTAGGTGATGATCAGATAAAATGTGACAACATGAATTGTATTAATTCTTCAGAATTGTCTCTGAGCAATCAAGATATTTCACAATACGCTCGGTTGGACGTACGTACGAAGTGGAAGAATGTGCAGCCATGGAAGTTTCAAGCCGACTCCATTTTCTGCGTTCTTTGCTGCAACAAATTGAAATTGGGCTCACTGCAGCAACACAGAATATTGTGGTGGCATCAAAAGAGAAATCACTTCATGGTAAGTGACAGCATTTATCATAATTAACCAATTTTTTTCACTTCTTTTTTGATATTTTTTGCTTCTTATTATTTTAAAATATTTTTTATGAACTAGTAACATTGAAAAAAGAAAATTTTGTCTGTACTTTTTTTTTTTTAACTAAAATTTCACCCAGCACAAGACCCAAGAACCACTCAAGATATAGGGTTACTATATACTACATAATGATATTGTTGTATTGATATAAAAGGAGTCAGTAAATGCAGATTATGAGGCTATGTAGGATATGTTTGATCTTTGACTTGAAGAGGTTAACATTGTAACGATCAGGGAAGTATACTCTCAGGTGTCCGCTTCACAAAGTAGCTGTTCTAAAACATTTACCATTCAGTGATGAATGGTTGCACTCTGAAAGAGCCTCCATGCCTTGAACTTTATTGAAACTCATGTAAACTGGAAAAATAGGTGTCTTATTCTATCACTCCAGAAAGCATCTGACTTCTTTTGCGATGCTTTATCTTTACAAGATTCAGATTAGACAAAAAATGGAGTATTGCTGTTATATCTGGGCTGGAGCTGTTTTGGCTCACTCTATCACCCCAGAAAGTTTCTGACGCCTTCTGTCATGCTTTATCTTTACAAGAGTGCGATTAGACAGAAAATGGAGTATTGCTGTCATATCTGGGCTGGAGCTGTTTTTGCTCACTCTATCACCCCAGAAAGTTTCTGACGCCTTCTGTCATGCTTTATCTTTACAAGAGTGCGATTAGACAGAAAATGGAGTATTGCTGTCATATCTGGGTTGGAGCTCCCCAGTCTTCACTTTCCAAGTTCAAAATTGTTTATGCTATCTTTGGGGATGGCTTTCCCACAGATGCAATGTCATGAGCATGTTGCTACTCTATAGCAATTTCCATGGCAAATGTTCAGTTGAGCTCCATTCTTTTGTCCTCCCAGTTCAGAACTTAATAGTTAGTATTCATCATGATATGTCCACATTCTGGGTATGGCGATAAACTACATGTGTGTCCTGGGTAAGATGATAAACTATGTCCAACAGCAAGGTCTCTGATCAGGAGGTTTTGAGGAGTGTGGAACCACTTCTTAATTGCTAGTGTTCCCAGGTTCACCCTGACCTGGGGTGGTAGCATCTGTTAGAGTCCCAGCTATGGGTAAATAGTTAACAACCTAAATTAAAAAATATACATAAATACAAAATCTTAAATTGTTTACTAGCATAGTGATAAAGCTTATAAAACAGGTAAATATGTAACTTATATCCACGTAATAAACACACTAGGAAAGATATGAGGTAAATGATTCTAATGAAATATTTGAGTAGATTTCACAGCCTTGATATGTTATATGAGATGGTAAATAATTAACGATTCAACTCCCTTGATATGAAAACATTAACATTGCCAAATTCACCAGATAATTTGAAAATATTTAATTCAGTGCCCACAAAAATGCAGGGTGTAGTTATCAGCTCTTCATAGTGATCATTGCTCTTGTGGATTACCTACACATCCATGAATTCTCATAAGGCATCAGTGTCACTTCCATCTTTTCCAGTTTAAGCATCAACTTGGATGCTACTCGGACACTCTCTCTTCTAATTAAAATTCCCCAGTACAAGAACTTAAAGAACATTAAGGAAGAGACCATCTTCTTAGATTACAAGCAGGTAGAAGTGGTATGTTGATATTTGTATTATATTCTGAATTTATTGTGATTTGTGGCTTATGGTCTTGGATGTGTGGGTGGTGTATAATGGCAATTGGAGAGCAGAGTTCCAGTTTCAGTTAAATTTGTTATTGTTGTAACCTAGAAAAGGTTACTGAATAGAATAATCAAATGAAGGTTGGTAATGAATGATAATACTTAGGACAAGAACAACACCTATAAGATTCACCAGCAGTGTGTAGAAGTAGTAGTCAACTGCATTCCACAATGAATCTCCAACTGTAGACCAACATACATGCAGTAATTACTACTGTATTTATGTGAATGGGGACATATCCATCATCATCTGTAAATATGCTACAACAGTGCTACATTTTATTTTTTTAAATTTACTATGTTAATTTTTGTATTATCATTATTTTCCAGGTCTGATTCATTGTATAGAAGAGTGCCTACCCTATAGTATCATTCCCATAGAAGACAATGAAATTGCAGCTTGGCAGTCCCTGCTCGAGTACATCATCAACTTGGCTGTGAGGGTTATTAATATGGTTATGTGTATTCTTTCAGGGGGAGAAGACACAGGTTAGTTTAAAATTTTTATTCCCTTTTATCAAGTAAATTGAAGTCCTACTTTTTACAAATTTGGTAGACACAAGTTTTGAAAGAGCCATTACAATTAAGGTTGACTGCTTTTCTTTGTAATCCTCTCTGTAACAGTATTATCTTGAAAGTAAATAGTCAGATTGGCAAATGTTTTAATATTGAATTATTATTAAATGACTGTCAACTATTATTACTTTTTGATATTTATTTTTATTTAATTTTTTTTTTGCAGAATCTTAATTTCAACAGAAATTGCAAATGAAACAATATCAATTTTAAAATTACAAAATTATACTTTAGAAAATAACTACTAGGCCCAAAATATCCTTATGTATAATTTTAAAAGCAAATGGAAAATTATACTTAGTCAAAATAACATACTAGGCCCAAAATATCCTTATGTATAATTTTAAAAGCAAATGGAAAATTATACTTAGTCAAAATAACATACTAGGCCCAAAATATCCTTATGTATAATTTTAAAAGCAAATGGAAAATTATACTTAACAAAATAACATACTAGGCCCAAAATTTTTGTATAATTTTAAAAGCAAATGGAAATTATACTTAGTAAAAATAATTTTAGGCCCAAAATATCCTATGTATAATTTTAAAAGCAAATGGAAAATTATACTTAGTCAAAATAACATACTAGGCCCAAAATATCCTTATGTATAATTTTAAAATAATGGAAAATTATACTTAGTCAAAATAACATACTAGGCCCAAAATATCCTTATGTATAATTTTAAAAGTTTATATGGAAATTAATGGAAAATTATCTATTTTAGATAATTTAAAAAAAATTGTACTGGAAACATGGCAAACCATCAAAATATCAAAATATGTATAATTTTTATTCAAAGCAAAAAGGAAAAAAGATTAAACACTTTTTATGATTACTTGGTGTGATAAGCTGCAAAAATTTTGACATTCCTAGCTGACTGAGAAAATATCCTTATTTTTGCAACCATTCAGATAATTTTTTTAAAAAAAAACTGGAACAGTTATACCCTGCTGGATAAATAAATGGTTCAGTTTGAAACAAATGATTTACCTGAAGAAAAAGGGGAGACATATCAATTACAATAAATTTCAAAATGTATCTATTTAGATGTTCCCCACTATAAATAATTATATTATTTTTTTTTAAAATTTTAAATTAAACATTAATTTTTCCTATTTTTCTTAAAATTTTTTATGGTCATAATTATTTCAGTCCAATCAATATATAAAATCACTCAAATGTAAATTGAGGTCCTGGGCACAAAGAACATTTGAAAAATTAAATAAAAAAAAATATTGTTTTTTATTTTTTTAACAATGGATTCTCTTTTTTTTTGTAAATTTTTTTATATTAGATCAACAAACAGGTAAAACTGATTTCTAAGAAGTCCTAGTTTGCAAAAAATAAGTATTTTTAGAATGCATTTTTTTATAGTTTTTCAAATTTTATCATTGATTTTGAAATTCAATGAAATGTCAAAATTTTGACAAAAAAAATTTCCATTTCTTTCTTTGTCTTTAATACTATTATAGTATTTATATTCATATATTTATTATACATTTTGGGGATAACTTTATTTTTTTTTATTTTATCTGGATGTCCTTTTCTATGATTTTTTAAATTATGTTTTGACTTTACAAACATTTCTTTGTTTATCTTTTTTAATGCTTTCATTTCAAACTGATTTTAATTATTGGTTAATATTTTTTAAAAAAATTTTAATTTCCCCTACGATGTTTGACAAATTTTTATTTGTTTAATTTTATCAAGTGATATATTTTCATTTTGGTGCCATCATAAATAAAGCAATATACATTTTCCATTTTTGGCCTTTAAATAATTTTTTAAATAAGATGACAAAATTTTTTATATTTATTTTAAACTTATTTGGTGAAATCAAAAAATTTTAAATTTTTTTGTATAATTTTTTTTGAAATGATTTTTGACAAATTTTTTTTTATTTGTACAAATTTTATATTTTATTATTTTAATATTTAAAGCAATCAAAGACAGGCTAGGTAGGAAAATTTTTTACTTTTAAAATTCAACTTTGGATCCTAAACAATTGACAATCCAGATTTTTAAAAACTTCCTTTTTTATTATATTTCTGTCTTACTGCCACCTGTCATGCAGTTTAACAGAATTTTCCTTATAAAATATTACAGATTTTTTTTTTTTTTTGTTTTGCAAAATTAATTTATTTTTTAATCTGACTTGTTTCTCCATTGTATGCAGTTAACAAACATCTATAATGTTAGATTTAAAGATTTGTGTTTTTTTATTTTTTTTATTTCATTTTATTTTTTTTTATTTATTTTTTTTATTATCATGACACAAAATAAATCTCAAGGGAGTTGCATTAACAATTTTTTGTCATTTTTTGTTTCTGAAATTTTTTTATTTTTTTTTTTTCTTAAAAATGAAAAACAATTCTAAAAAAATCTCAAAGATCAAGTTATGTTTTTTAATGATAATGTTACTGTGTTTGACAAATTTTTTTTATTTGTTTATTTTTATCTTATTGTTTATTTGGATAAAAATAACAATTTAAAATTTTTTTAATGTTGGGTTCTTTTTACTTGTTTGACAAATTTTTTTGTTTTATTTTAAATTTTTTCTCCATCAAATGGTTAAAATTTAATTTTCAAAACAATTTTTTTTTATTTGTTTTTTTCTTATTTTTTATTATAGCTCCTATTTGAATGTTTTGCATCAAAAACATTTTTACAAAATTTATGTTTTGTTTGATGCTTTTTTTTTTGTTTAAATAATCTTTTTTATTGGTATTTTATTATTTAAAAATTGATCCTTTCCTTGCATGAAATGTTTTTTTTTACAATAAATGTTAAATCTTGAAATTTGACAAATTTTTTTTTGTAAAACTTATAACGTATCTCTTTATTTTCTCTCTGATAAATAATAAAAACAATAGAGGTTCCAATTTAACTGCATTGGTCTGTACATTCAAACATTTTGCTTCATTTTCTTTTTCCTCACTTTTATTAGTAAAATTAAATTAATGTGATTTTCCAACAATAATTGGGATATCTATTCTCACAAATTTTTTTTTATTTTGTTTATTTTTATTCTGAGGATTTTTCTTTCTTTTTAGCTGTTATGATGAATCTCAAATTTTTTAAAATTTTTATATAATTATTATGTGGGGGCTTTAAAGCATATTTTTTTTTTTTGTTTATTTTATTTATTTATTTTTATTACAGATCTATAAAATTATTTTATCAGTTGACAATCAGATGATATATTTTTACAAAATTTTTTTAAACATCTTATTTATTTTATTTATCTTGGTTTATCTATTTCCAATTTTAATAACTTTTTTCTAATAATCTTGTTTTTTTATCTTGGTGTTTATTTTTATCTTATTTGTTTTTTATATCTCAAGGTAAATGCAGTTAACATTTTTTTTTTTAATTTTTAAATGTTTTTTAGGTTTTCTGGAAAATTTAAAGAATTGTTTAATTTTTAATAAACATGTTTTAAAAAATCTAATGTTTGACAAATTTTTTTTTTTGTTTTATTTTATTTATTTTATTATTATTTAACATTTTTATTCTGTTAATGTTTTCAAATTTTAAAATAATGTTAAGTAAAGATTGTTAAACTCCAAATTGTTTATTTTTATCTATTTTATGGATAAAAATCTTTTTAAATAATTTAACAAAATTAATAATGTTAAATTTTTTTTTGATTACTTTTTTATTTTTATTTCCCTTTAATTTTATAATTTTATAAAATTCTGATAGTTAAATATTTTTACAATTGTTTAATAAAGATCTGAACTTTTTTTTTATTTATTTTTTTATCTTTTTTATTTTTATTATCTTGGTTCTGAAAAACTTTTGTCCCAGTTTATTTTGATAATGAAAGGTTAAAACAAAAATTTTTTTAAAAATTTTTTTTACTTAAAACATTCACATTTTTATGAAATAAATATAATGAAAAAAAAATTTTACAAAATGTTATGAAAAATGTTTTTGACAATTCTCAATTTATATAAAGTGCAGTGGTTTCCAAATTTTTTTTCTCTGGGCTTCATTTTTGGAATGAAAATTTGCTTGCTTCTCAAATTTTTAAAAGTTCAAAATGAAAAAAAATATATTTAAAAATAAAAAAAAAGAGGAGGGTTAAAGGGAGATAACTTCAGATTCAATGTCAGAATATTATCATTGATAACTCTCTCCTCCAATTTGTGGACCCTAGTTAATATATTCTTAATACTTGATATAATGCAGAAATATCACAATGATAAAATCGGTCAATAATTATTCATAACTATTTATACTGGGACTCATGCAAGCAATTACAAGTAATCTGTAATAATATTTTAGATTTTGAAATCATTTATTTTTGGCATATGAATTTTTTAAACTGTTTCTAAATCTTTATCTTTCAATCATTCTACCTCACTTGCTATTCTCTTCTGCCGCACATATGAGACATGCTGCACCATTTGGGAATCACTTGTATAACCCATGATATCATTGGTAGGATAGGATTTGTTAAAACAGATGTCAAAACATTCATTTACTTTGGGTTTTTTTTCATGCTATGACCCTTCAAGATTTAGGTAATTATAATTCCCTACATGTTCTGTGAATTGCCATAACTTATTGCAAAATATAGGTGGTTTCCCATTGTTTTCTTGATGATTTTAAATTAAAAATTTTCACTCTCCTAAATCAGTTGTCAACTGAGGCTTGAGAGCCTAGTCTACCTTGCTATTTAACCCATCAATATAAATACTCGAATTGGCAAGTCAAGTTCAATTTTCATTCTTGTCTGTTATCTTCACTTCATACTAATGCTCTTGTAAAAGGTATGATTCCATTTCTCCTTCCCTTCAGCTATGGATTAAATGGTTAATTATGGTTAATTTTGTTAACATCATTCTGCCAACAGTTTCATTCCATGTTTTTCTGCTAGAAAATATAACCACGAGTGGCTCTGGACTAACCAGTGTCTTCTACTATTGGAATGTCCAAGTTTTCCTTGATGTCATTTATGATCTTAGCTCTGCCAATAGATTTTTTTTTCCCTGGTGTCATGTAACTTTTGAGAGTTTTTTGAGCTAAAATTCTTTAAAATTAAGTATCTGTTGAAGATGTTTTTCTGAAAAGAAAATGGAAGAAAGGAAATTTGTCAATCATTAAAGCAGTAACTTTACAGGTTGGGTTAAATAATGGCAAAAAATAGCAACCCTCAGATGATTCCAATGGAATCATGTGATCTTCAATGTCTTAGGACAGGGCTAGGCAATTGTTTCAGCTTGGGGGCCACTTTGAGTGGGCTGTGGTTATCAGAGGGCCACAACTTCTAAAACATATTCATTAGTTAACATTACATTGCATAATGATAAAAAATAAAGCTAAAACAATAATGGTACACAGAAAAGGTTTCATTAAATTTATGTGCAAATTACACATCAGCCAGCACAAGTAATTTAATGAGACAAATGTAAATGCTCACACTATTTTACAATTCTTTTGAAATCAGGAGTGAGGTTGCTTGTTGAGATTCTAGTCACTGCCTGCAAGTTTAGGTCTATTTTTACTCTTGTTGATTTTCATGGAAGAAAAAACAAATATATGTGGATCCAAAAATAGAAAACATTTTCCCAGCAAATTTCTTCACACATTAAAATTTATCAGTAGACAGAGATTTTATGCCACAGAATTAAACATTTATTTCAGTGTGTGATTTGACTGTATGTCAATTAGTTCAAGCTGTACCTCCTCAGGTACTGTATCAATATCAACAGTGAAAGGATACTATAGCAAATTGAATTCAGACTCAGTTTTCTTGAAGTCCTGAAATCTTCTTGTGACCTTATCCTCCAAACACAGCAAATGATCTCTAATCTTGGAAGAAACACTTGCAGGGATTTTTTTGTCATTCTAAAAAAAAAGAGAAATGACAAAATTTACCCTCATCTGCTTTCCTTGCAAATAGACAGTTTTGTTTTAAATGAGCTCACATGCCTCAACATTCCATATGCAAACAGCATATTTCCCTGCAACATCATATTCAATTCATTTAATTTCTCAAACTTTTCAGCTGCGAACATCATCTCATAACTCCATTCCTCACATCCCATTTTGGTCACAAAATCATATGAAATCCACTTTATGCCCAGAAAGAGGGTTTCATTCTGTAATTCCCAAATCCATTTTAGGACTTTGCCTAGACTCAACCACTAAACATTGTTGTAGTAAATCACATCTCTATACTCTGTCTCCATGTCCTCAAGCAGAGATTTATATTGTTGGTGGTTGAGTACCCTTGCTCTGATAGTTTTCATCACACTCACATCTCATCTACTACATGCTTTAGTTCCAACGCAGCTTTACAAAAGCTTTCCTGATGCAAAATACAATGTATCACTGTCTGGGTGTTTTGCTTTTAACTTGTTTTTTAAAAGTTTAATCATACCGACATTTTTTCCAGTAAATACTCTGGTCCCATCTGTTGTAATACTAGCCATTCTATTCCATGACAAGACACTTTTCTCCACACAATCTAAAACACAATCAGACAAGTCCTGACCAGTGGTTGTATTTTACATCAATTCCAAACCAAGTAGTTCCTCTGTGATGACAAAATTTTTATCAACTCCACAGATAAAGATAAGTAACTTTGCAGTGTCTTGATTATTGGTACTCTCATCCAATGCTAAAGAAAACTAAAATCTTTGCTTGCAGCAGTCAGCTGTTCTGTTAATTCGTCACTGATTAAATGTATGCATTGCACTATAGTCCTTCTTGATAATGGTTTCAAATTTGCTTCTGGCATCAGAGCACAGGACATTTACACACTCTAACAAGTATTGCTTAACAAATTTGTCATCAGAAAATAGGTTGTTGTTTTTAATAGAGGTTGTATGCTGCCAGGAACCTTGCTTCTGTAACACTATCCTGAAGTATTTTCGTAAATATGATTTTTCAGCTTTGTAACACACTCTACAACTTTTTTCCTGCATTCTTCCTGGGACATTTTGCTACCAAACTCAGCATGTTTTGTTTGGTAGTGTCATTTCAAATTGTATTCCTTGAATACAGCAACTGTCTTGTGACACAGTAAATGTACTGCCTTATTACTGTGAATTACTGAAGAAATATATGTGTGTTCAGGCTTCATTAAATGCACGGCATTCTTTTTTGATTTTGTGCCTTTTTAGGAGGGCCTATGGTTCACTTGGATCAGAATGTTACAGATCTTACTGTTGCAAAGACGAAACTGAAATGAGACAATTGCTGGCAACGTGGGTATCAACATCGACTGCGCATACTTATGAACAATAGGTATTGGGCTATTAAAACATGGAGCTAATTTTCTTTGACACAAGGGAGGTTAGCCTCAGCACTTGCAATTCATCATGATCAGTTTACAAAAATTTTTGATTTGGAAGTTTTTTTGTTTTTTTTTAACGAATGCTTCCATGGTCCAGTAATTGCCCACTCCTGTCTTACGAAGATAGCAACAAAGAAAAGCATCTAAGATTAGACAAGATCCTTTTAAAACTTAGCCAATCTCAGATAAGGATAGGCTATAATTTTTCACTTTGGTAAAATATTTATTCTGAGTTACAGTTTTTTGTCATTTCTTATTTTTGCATTAGGTTTCTCGTAAAATTCTCTTGACTGACTAATGGTTTCAGAGGCAAAACGAGCGATTTGTTTTCCTTGACAAAACTTTTTGGTTTACTTTAGAAAGTATAAATAAATTTGTTAATAAATGGAAACAAATTTTTTATTTATTTATTTACATTTTTATTTAAAAATTTTATATATACCTTTATGATGTAAGAAAGACGTTTGTATAAATTCTGTGACATAAAATTTGAATATACAATGTATGTAGTCACTATTTTTCTTCTGATGTCATTTTTTGCATTCATCTGACACATGAAAATAATATTCTTGTTTCTTTTACAGGAAAGCTCCTCACTGCTTGGTCACATTGTACTGTTGGTGAGCAAATACCCAGAGAACTCTGCACACAACAATAATCGACTCGTTATTTCAACAGATCATTATCAGAAAATCAGCAACACTTTTCTCAAGGTTCTAACACAGTGCAGACATCGGGTATGTTTTTAGTTCCCTTTTAATCAGCTTCATCTACAGGGGTTGGACAAAATAATTGGAACACTTGTTAAATTCAAAGAAAATTTATTTAATATGGAGTTGGTCCTCCTTTAGCCTCACAGACAGCTTTAATATGTCTAGGAATGAAATCATACAGCTTCCTGACTTCATCCAGAGGAATTTTCAGTCATTCTTCCATTAAAACCTTCTCCAGCTCTTTACAACATGACAATGGAGGATAGCAGCTCCTAACTTGTTGCTCCAAAATGCACCACAAATGTTCAATAATATTGATATCTTGAGATTGGGGAGGCCACTCTATGTGTTCTAGCTCACTTTCATGCTCTTCATACCAATTCTTAACCACTCAAGCAGTATGTATTGGAGCATTACCATCTTGGAAGATGCAGTCACCATCGGGGAATAAAGTCTTGGCCATTGGATGAACATGATCTCCCAAAATGTTCAGGTAATCTTTGCTGTTGATTCTATCATGCAGGGCAACTATTGGACTGAGACATTTCCATATGGCAGCCCAAACTATCACTGATCCACCTCCATTCTTCACTGTCGGAAGAAGGCAGTCAGGGTTGTAAGCTTCTTTGTGCACACATAGTGTGGAGGCACACATAAACTCACCCTGAAGTTGGGAAAAGAGAAAAACTGGACTTGTCTGAGAATATGACTTGCTTCCATTGGTTTGCAGACCAGGTATTGTGATTTCTGCACCACTTCAACCTCTTTTGAATGTTGCGAGTGGAGAGAAGAGGTTTCCTCACAGCGGCTCCTCCATGATATGCAGCCTTATGGAGTTCATGGTGAAGAGTTTTAGTAGAGACTGAACTATTCAGATGGTTATTCAACTCAGCAGTCACTTTGGCCGCATTTGTCCGATGATTTTTTGCCACATTGCGTTTCAATTCATGTCAGTCCCTGTCAGTAAGTTTGCATGTCCGGCCTAAATTGCTATGGTTGCTAGAGGTCTTGCCCTGTTTCTCGAATTACATCAGTGTTCTTGATATGGTAGCTCTTGAAAAACTAAACAGTTCAGCGACCTTAGTGATCGGGGCTCCTGCCATGCGAGCTCCAACAATTTGCTCTTTTTCGAACTCGGAGAGGTCATGCATTTAGCTTAAATTTTACTAAATTCTAAAAATAAATAAGACAAAGACAGTAGATTAGATAAATAAATGTATTTACAATAGATATAACCTGCAATTATGAAGTTTTAGTTAAAATTCGTAATAGGTTTTTGAATTATAGTAGTGGATATTGCAACTGTTCCAATTATTTTGCCCAATCCCTGTATATACAAGAATTTTCTCAAATCAATGATTAAAAAAGAATTCAAGTGAATGAATCCTTTAGGTTGAACACCATTAAAATTTATTCCTATCTCTACAATGTTTACCATCGATACATGATTATAACCCATGTTTCACATTTATAGTCCTCCTACATATATATAATTCCATCAATAAGAACCATTACTTTAGCTTGAAGTTGTTTTAGATTACAAATCATATTACATAGAATTTTTTCATTTTGTCATTCATTACCCATTTATATATATATATATATATATATATATATATATATAATAAAGATGCTGCATACAAACAAGTGCTCATGACAAAGATGCATTTTTGTTTTGATGCGAATGCATTTTTGTCATGAGTACTTGTTTGTCCATATGTAGCATTTTTATAATAAATAACTATTGCCCTACTCTTGGTACTGAGTCCTCTTTTAAATTAATGCTATGAACATTTAGAATTATATTCTTTTTGTTCTCATTACATTTGTATATATATAATGGATAAAAATTTCAGATGGAGTATGTCTGTGAAAGGACAATATGAATAAAGACAAAGACAAAAAGAAAACTTATCTTAGGCAATGTGTTTTGTCCTCTGAGGAACTTCAATGCTAATGTAAAGATTTTATTTTGTGACAGGTATTTATATACAAGAGCAAAATGTTATTGGATTTTCAAAATGTTTTGGTATAGGAGTGCTCATGATTATTCATCAGGTTAGTGGAAAAGTATGAACTTAGCTGACTTTTCTGGAGAATTTGTGAGTTCTTATCAGAATGATCAGAGTGAGTTTTCTGAGCTGCCATACTTTTGTAATCACCATTAAATTCATCCAACTCTTTCTGAATCCTCTGCACTGTCCTCTGATTGACCCACAAACACTCTGAAATGTTTGTATTGGAGCTTCCAGCACGAATGTCAAGAAATACAGCATGTCGTTTCCAAATTTCTGATAGAGTGAATTGTCATGGTGCTCTTTTTCTCATAAACAGTGCCCAACTAACCCTACTATACTGTGCAGTTAACAAAATTAAAAACGAACGACATACATGTGCAAAATTAAAAAAATAAAATGGTGGCAATTTACCTACCACACTCTGTATATCTGTAAGAAGTCTATGAATAAAGACGAAAGCCAACATCAAAAATTAAAAGAAAGCTGTTAAATCCAAATTTTTTATTATCTAAAGTAAATAAATGCATAAATAATTTATCAAATTAAAATAAAATAATAATTACATTAATATAATAAAAAAGTAAATAAATATATATAAACAAATAAGAAAATTAAAAATTTCAACACCAACAACATTTATTCATTTTTGTTTACTAGGCATGAAATTAAATCAGTTAGCATCCTTCATAGCTTACCTTAACTTTCACAGTTAGCCCAAGAGTATTTTTCTTAAATTTAAAATCTTTGAAAACCTAACAATATTTTTGTTTCTGTTTATAAATACATGTTGCAAAGTAAGATGCTTACATTTATCTTGATAAAGTCCATCAGAGGATGAAACGCATTAGTAATTTATCTTTATTCATATTTGTGGCTCACTTACACACACACACACACACACGTGCATATATGAGAGAGAGACACACATTTGCATATTGATTATTATAATTATTACTGGAATTATTTTAGGGAGCCATTGAAAATTGCAGAGCAGGTTTCATCAATTTTTGTACAGCACTTTTCAACACCAACAACCATAGTGCCAACACTATTCCGGAAGACATTCTCACACAGGTCAGTAAAATAAAAACAGAAAATCTGTTTTACTAATGTGAACACTTTTTCTCAATAAACTGAGTAAACTGTACAGAATTACATGCAAAATCAGTCTTTATTCATTTTTAAATTGGCATTCCTTTCTCAAATGAAGAATCTGATGTTGTTTTCTTTCAATGGCTAAACTGATCTCTATAAGAATGATATATACAATATAGACTTTTTGTATAGGTAAAGTATGTAGAATTTTTCCAGTTCATCAATATTCTTGAAATACAATTTCCATGATTTGTATTCATTGCTAATCAAAGAAAAGACTATGGTATTATATTCTTTTTGCAAAAAACATTAACCTAACCCCAATAATAGTAGAATCACAATCACGTCAAACATAAAAATAACGAAAAATGAGAAAATCCACGGTCAATTGCTGAAACCTCCTGACGAGTGAACCAAACAATCACAAAATAGTTTGTTTATGAAATTCTGGATTTGAGGTGCTGAATCTGTCATCTATCAGCTAAGTGACAAATTTTATTTGTATTAATCATATATATATATATATATATATATATATATATATAGTTTCTTCTGCAATCCTTACAAGAAGGACCCAGATTACTATTATTAATTTTTTTTTTTTTCATAAGGTGCTTCGGAGTCTGGACTCTGGTATTCAGGGTGTGTCTGTGACACGAAGGTCAGCAGGTCTTCCTATTCTTATTCAGAGCATTTGCGTCAGTGAACGAAAGACAAAAAATGTGAGTTCTTTCTTTTTTATGATTATTGTTTTCTTTATTGTTTAAACAATTTTCTATTAACAAATGGAACATAAGAAAAATCTCAAAATATTTTTGTCATGTCATAATCATCTGTGGATTCTTCTAAAAGCTGAACTGTTTTCTTGTTAAATTTTGGACTTCGTTTTGTCCAGAAAGGTTTTATTTTTCCATACATCATTGATACAATTCCTTGTCAACATATCTCTTGTGAATTTTTTGTATGAGCTGTTGGAATTTCAAATTGTGCTTGTGAAGTTTTAATTGGTCAAATGGATTAGAAAATATTTAGTTTTGAGTTCTAAGGTTTTTAATGTTAAATATTTTAATGTACAAATATGCTCTCCTGTTTTCTCAAATTTGCATTATTTTATTTTTATGTTTAATCTTCTTGTTTTGTATGTTTAATAATAAAATCTGTACCTTTTATAAAGGTTGATAATTAATAATTTAAAATCATTTTTATTGTTTCATATTTTAGCAAGATATAAATAACATGTTAAAAGTAATTTCATCTATTAGATCTTTGAATGGATAATTAATTTTTCCTGTATAAAATTATATTTTTCTAAATTAATGATACCACCGTTTTCATTTTGAATTATTCCAGATGATTTTTTATGCCTACTTTTGAATCTTTAGCGTATTCTTTTATTACTAACTAGCAGTAGAGCCCGGCGTTGCCCGGGGATGTAACAGTAAGAGATAGATGAAGTATCGACCATCATAAAGACTGAAAAATAAAATTGACAAAGATTATTGTTTAAGGTTGACAGACACACATGTCTTAATTAGTTTTATTTTTTTTTTTTTTTATGAATCGGTCAAACCCAAACTCAAGCAAAAACATTGTTTTTAATTGTTATGAGTCTACCGATTGAATAGAATTTTATTATAAACAATTGTCTTGTAAATGTAATTTTTAAAGCATTCTGAATGTAAAAATAAAAGAAAAAAAGTGCAAGACAATAAGAAACACTACCTGCCAAAAAAAAAAAAATAAGTTTTGTTGAAATCGGTTGAAAAATGTAGGAAATCCGATCCCATATATAAATGAACACACACACACAACCAACCTGGGTTTTATAATAAGTATAACTCGATAACTCAATATTAATAAGTATAACTCGATATGAGTTGTCCCCCCTTTCATTAATGCCTCTTAATCGTGTTTTCAAATTGATTTCATGCAAAAAAAATTGTGTTTTTCCAATTTTTGGTGCTGTCAGAACCACCGCAAGGTAATTTTACGTAGTCCTATGAAGTTTTGTTGAAATCGGTTGAAAAATGTAGGAAATTCGATCCAATATATAAACGTACAGACACACACGCACACACAATCTGCGTTTTATGATAAGTAAGATTATTAGTTACTTTGCTATTTGTAGTGCATGCTATATAAATGTAGTGGTTAAGCATCTTACTTCAGACGTCCTTCATTCGGACAAACAATATGGCTTCTGCTTTACCAGGTCTACTAGAAATGTGTTAATGGCCATCTATAAAGTTATCTATCAAGCTTTAGATAAGAATGGCGAAACTTGGGCTTTGGCTCTAGATATCTCTAAGGCAATCTATTGTTTAGTTTCAAATTATGGTGTCATAAACTTTATATTTAAATTTAATCAAATCATCCCTAACCAATCGAGTAATGAAGGTCATGTTGCTTCCAGATCATGTCATACTAACGGGGGAGGGGAGGCTCTATCCTTGGACCTTGGATTTTCTTCAATGATCATGATGTCATCAGTTCTCAACTAGGTATTTATGCAGATGACACTACCATTTACTCCTGTCTTAATAGCAAATCCAACAGATCTGACAAAGTAAACTACTCCAATCAGTGGTTAACTGGGGCAAGAAAGGGCTTGTAAATTTGAATGCCTCCAAAACAAGATTGCTTTCATCTAATCACCACAGAGAACCTTTTCTGCCTACCATTAGAATGGCTGATGCCAAACTTCAGGAGAGCAATACTCTATGCTTTCTTGGCCTGACTTTTTCCACTGACATGAAGTGGAGCTACTATATCAAGTCAATTGCTAGGTCTGCTGCAAGGAAGGCTAGTTCACTGTGCCATGCCAAAAGATTTTTCTTGTCAGAATCCATCTTACACATCTATAAATTTATCATTTGTCTGTGTATTGAATATTGTTGCCATATTTGGTCTGGTGCTCTTACTGTGCATCTTGAGATTCTTGACAAAATCCAGAGAAGGATCTGCAATACAATCGGTCCTAACCAGGCATCTTGTCTCCAGTCACTTTCTCACTGATGTGATGTGGCTTTCCTCTGTCTGTTCTACAATTTTTTCTTGGAAACTGCTCAGATGAGCTTTTTTCTCTGGTGCCCCGATTACAGGAATTTAGGCATGCTACTAGATTGGCACTTAGGTTTCACTGTTTTACTGTGGAACTATCCAAATACAACTGCCACTTCTATTCTAACAATTTTTTTTTCTTACACTTCCCACCTGTGGAACTTCCTTCTGATTTCTTGCTTCCCTGAGCAACAATCTTCAAAAATTTAAATGCATTGTCAATCCCCATCTTCTGTCTTCTTGAACCCTGTTCATTTTTTGTTCTTTCCTCATTCCTCCCCATTTTCAATCTTCTCATTCTATTCCATTTTTACTCCCTGTAACTCCTTGCATTTTAGTGACATATTTTCCTTGCTTGGGGTGAAACAATTCAAAAAGTAAATATAGTTTTAAGGTATGCTATATTTATGGGTAAAAATGCTCAATATAAGAGACAGGGTGTATATAAATATAAACATAGACATTGAGGTCACTACTGAGAATCTGTTTCATGCTTGAACACCATATATGTGGTGTGTTGGCTCAACTATTTATATATTCTGGTCAATGGTGCATTATGGGTACTAAGATGTTGGAACATTGAACATTACTGAATTTTATAAACCTTTAAGGGAAGATGCATCACAATGTGTCAACTTGCAGAACTTTTTTAATGATGCACTTGATCAGTGGTTTTGCTGTATGACAATGCCTGTCATCATCTTGTGATGAAGCACATGATCTTGGGAAATTCTTTTATATATGGCATATTTTTCAGACCTGTTGCCTTCATATTATCATGTGTAACACTTTTTGTCTGGTTAGTGTTTCCACCAAATATTTTCCTCAAATATTTCATTGAAGCAAAACTGGAATCATTTGTTTCTGATAGAATGTACAAAGATGGAATAAAATTACAAAAGTTTGGAAAGAATAGTTTGATGACTGGATAATTATGCTGTGAGTTTATATGAATAAAAGACTTTATCAAAAAATAGCATTTGTGTCAAGTGAATATTCCTGGAGGATATGGGTTTTTTTATCATTTCATACCAAGAAAGGCAATAAAGCCACTAAAATGCAAGGGATTACTGAGTGTTAAAGAATATGAGAAAAAAAACATTACTAAGGAGAGAGAACAATAAAAGAAAGGAATTAAGAAGATAAAAAATAACAATTGACATTGCATTTAAATTTTTGAAGATCAAAGATGACTGGAAAGCGAGAAGCTGGTTACAATTTCCACAAATAAGAAGTGCAAGAGAAGAAACTGTTAGCATAAAACTTATGGTTACATCCAACCATTTCAAATGTAAAATGATGAAACCTTGCCAATAATCTAGTACTGTACTTGAAATTATATTTTAGAATACAGTTTAAGAAATTGTAAGATATTTTATAGATTGATGTCATGAAAGTTTTCTTTCATGTTGATTTTGGTTAGCAGCAAATCAACCTCTATGGGTTATTTAATGCCAAAAGAGAGAGCTCCATGCTCATCAAAACCTCCAGTTTCCTGATCAGAGGCTTTTGAAATGCTTTAGAGGACTGCACTAAAACCACTGCCTTAGAACAAAGATTCCTCATTGTGATTAAAAGCAGAAGAAAAATAAGAAAAAAATATACTGTTGCAGGAATGATTGTTGTGTTTATGTAGAAAATATGTGTCTCTTAGTATTATTTTTCCAAATGTGAGCCTAATAATTATTGTGGACAATACAAAACAAACGACAATGCATGTATTAACAAAAAAGTAATAAAGGAATAAGAAATGATAAACATTCAAAACAATTTCATAAAACAAAATTAGAGAATGCATTTATTAACACAAAAAAGTAAAAAAAATACAAAAAAAGACAAGAAATGAAGAAAACATTCAAACGATTACTAGTTTTATAAAGTATTTAAATTAGAGATATCATTGTTTTATAGGATTCAGTTGATTCCCAGACACATGTGTTCAAAGAGTTCAAAAAAAATTTCTTTTTTTTTTTGCTCTACATCTTATAGCCAGAGTTATAAAGAGGAAAGAGAATGAGTGTGAATATCATTGCCTATTTATAGGATTCAGGTGTGTTCCCCAAATAACAGTCTTTTTTTTTTTTTTTTTTTTTTTTATCAAGAATAACCACCAAATTGGATTATTTCTTTTCAGAGTTATCCATATTAGTTATTCTCTTGATCATTCCAGATCATTTGAAAATGATTTGTTTCTTTTTAATTTTTGACATTTTCTCTTTTCTTCTTTTCAGGTTTCTCTTTTGATTGCCAGTGTGCCTGTGTCAACTTGCAATCAAAAACAAGATCCTAGTCAGGTCCATGCCATCAATATTCTCAAAGTATTGTTTGGGGACAATAATCTGACCACTGGTCTCTTACCCCATATCAGTGAAGCTGTAAAATTGGTCATCTCAGGATTTGAATCACCATCTTGGGCCATCAGAAATGCTTCTACACAACTCTTCAGTAAGTGACACCCTCTTTATATTTCTCTCTTTACATAACGTTCTTATTGAATTTTAGAATTTTCTTCATTACAATTTTAACCATTCTCTTGCTTTCTTAAATTTATAGCTTTCTACTTTTTTTTTCCACTTTCATTTTTTTACTTTTTCTATTATTTCCTCTTTTAGTCTTTCCTGCTATATATTTTTTTAGCCAAATCCCTTTTCAGTTTCTCTCTCTTCTTAATCATTGTCTCTTTAAATAAAGATGAAAGTATTGAACACAACATAGTAATTTTATTATATGAACCCTTTTAATGAATCTGTGATATTTGAATAACTGCCATTCACACTGTAGATAGGTAGGTGGATATGAATGAACCAGTAGTTAAATATATTGGTTTTTAACTCAGTCTTCAGTTACGATCTTGATAGAGTCCAAAAGAGTTTCCCCATCTGTGTTGGGTGATGAAATATTCTCCACTTTACAACCCCTTTCCTATGGATGGCCGCCCGGTCGGTGGGGCATCAGAATACGCCTACTGCCCCCCTGCAGAGGGTAAAAGTCCCTCAATGGGGCCACCTGTTGGCCGTGGGTGGCGACCCGTAATGTCTGGGGACGGGATCCTGGTGGTTGAGCAGGTTGTAACCCAGGTGTAAAGCGGTCACAATCTTGTAACACACCACTTTGGCCCTTACCTGGGCTAGACGGGCGGTCGGAGGGGCCCGATCCGATCAATCGGCTGGTCATGTCAAGCCCCATCATATATAATCCAACCCAAACCTATAACTAACACTCCTCTTCCCAACCAAAACTAACACTTAACCCTAAATATGTGATGGAAGGCGGTGGCTGAGGGTCAATCAATTTGGGGGAAAAAGTATCTGACACACTTGCTAAACCTTCACAGCCGTAATACTTGGAAAACGGAAACAAAGGAACATGCGTGCTCAAAGACTCCTCCCAAAAAAGAGTATATCATTCACGTAGCCCCGACATGGCAAGGCGAATGGGTTTCCCCCCTTGACCTGTCCCAATCTGGACTCCGTGGTGGGTAGGGAGCGAGAATGATGAACAAAAAATAAAACAATCAATGGAAAAAAGAAATCTTCCAAGAGACCACATGTAGATAACGACTCAGAAACAGAGAATGAAAGTGAAAACTTCCCACGGTTTATTGTACTCAAGCAATAAGCCAAAAATCATTATCAGAAATTTCTCCGTTTAAAATACAAAAAGCAATAACAAATATCATAATACCAAAAAGGTTAAAAATTTAAAAATGGAACAATACTAATAGAAGTAGAAAAAAAAATATATGCGGACACATTGATCAGACAAAAAAACTACAAGAGATAGAAATAAAAACCTACCCACACCAAACACTAAATTACTCAAAGGGAGTAGTAAAAAAGTAAGGAGCTCTCCTTGTGCACTCTAGAGGAAATAAAAATAGAACTCCAAACTCAAGGAGTTACAAATGTTAAAAGAATAACAATTAAAAAAAATGGAGCTGAGATACAAACTAATACCTACATTATAACGTTCAACTCCCCCCAAATTCCAACTTCAATAAAAATTGGATATGAAAGTATAAAAGTAGAACAATATGTACCAAACCCTCTACAATGCTATAAATGCCACAAATTTGGGCATCACAGAGATTCCTGTAGAAATAAAAAAATATGTGGGAAATGTAGTGAGAAGGAACCAGAACACAAAGAAGAGAACTGCCCAAATGAGAGCCTATGCTCAAACTGTTTGGGAAACCACTCTGCCCTCTCAAAACAATGCAATATATATAAACAGGAGAAAGAAATAATTAGAATAAAATACAAAAAAATATATCTTACATAGAAGCACGAAAGGAAGTTATAAATAATATAAAAGAAAACACATATGCTTCCATGGCACAAAAAAGCAAATAAAATAAACAATGAAGATAAAATAAAAGGTTCAATTGAAATAACAAATCTATGTAAGGAATTAAAAGCTTTCCTTGAAGAATTAAAAACCTTTTTTAACCGAACTTAAATCGGATCAAAATAAAACTCAACAACCCAGATCAAATGGAATAAACCCAGAAGGAGGTAAAAAAAAACTTTGGAAAGAAAAACACAGAACAAAACTCCAGCGAACCCTCTTCTTTTTTTTTTACCCAAACTAAGAAAATGAAAAATAAACAAAAAGAAAAAAAAAAACAACAGAGCAAGAAAGCACTATTTTCAAGATCTAACTCAAAATCGAGAATCAGTATATCAAATGAAAATAAATTTGAACCTATGGAATATATAGAAATAGAAGAGAAAGATAATAAACAAAATTCAAAACAAAATCAAAAATCTGATCAAGGACACCACAAGCAGTTGAAGACAAAGCTTCTAAAAACTCAAGAGATGGAAAAAAATTGAGAGGACAAATGATACCAACCTAGTAGGTAACTTTACTCCCAAAAAAATGAAAATATAATCATGGCACATAAGATCCTGCAATGGAACTGTCGTGGAATAAAATCAAATTACAATGACCTACTCATACTTATGTCACTACTGTATCCAGCCGTCATCTGCTTACAGGAAACTTTTTTACAAGAAAATACCAACTTAAAAATTAAAAATTATAAACAATACCACTATAATCACAATACAGGACATAGAGCTAATGGAGGAGTGTCAATATTGATCAGAAATGACATACCGCAAAGTAAAGTACACATTAAAACTAAATTACAAGCAATAGCAACACAAGTGACACTAGATAAAACCATCACAATTCTTTCCATTTATATACCCCACAGGAACCAATAAACACAACAGAAATAAACAACTTGATGGAGCAACTTCCCAAACCCAGAATCTTACTAGGAGACTTTAACAGTCATAATCCTATATGGAATAGCAAAAAGCTAGATACTAAAGGTAAAATATTAGAAGAAATAATTAACACCCATAACTTATGTCTATTAAATCATAAATCCTCAACCTACCTTAATCCCTCCAATGGAACAGAATCATCAATAGACTTAAGTATAAGCGATCCAGAAATTTGTATGGATTATACATGGAAAACACATAGTGACACATGTGGCAGTGATCATTACCCGATCATACTAGAAAATCAAAAGCCTGCCAAGGAAGAAAAGATAGGCCCCGTCAGATGGAAACTGAAAAGAGCCAACTGGGAGGGTTTCAAAAACAAATGTAAACAAGTACTGATACAGTCAAAGGACACAGACAACTCGGTAGAATACTTTACCAAAACATTAATAACCATTGCCTCAGAAAATATACCAAAAAAGCAAAATAATTATAAAAAAACTAAACCCTGGTTTGACAAAAACTGCCAAAAAAAGAGTCAGAAACCGGGAAGCAGCATTATGAAAATTCAAGAAGGAACCCACAACCCAAAATTTGATTGAAATGAAGAAACTCAAAGCAGTAGCACGGAAAACTGTAAAAAGAAGCCAAAAGGGAATGTTGGAAAAAATATGTAAACAGCCTAAATACACATTCTAAAACCAAGACAATATGGGAAATGATGAGGAAAATAGCTGGAAAAGATCAAATACACCCAATAATACATCTTAAAAGGACAACACTAAAAGCAACTAGCAAAAGAGAGATAGCAAACCTACTAGCAGAGACATTTGCAGAAAACTCTAAAATGAGCAAAAATCAAAACCTACAAAAGTGTAAACAAAAAAAGATATAAATAACCAACTAAATTTTTCATCTAAAAATACAGAAGCCTACAACAACCTATTCACTGAAGCGGAACTAATAGAAGCCATAAAAAAAATCCCATAATACAGCAGTAGGCCCAGACCAAATCCACTATGAATTTATTAAACAACTACGACAAGAATCGCTGAAATACCTTTTGAATATTTTTAACAATATTTGGACTACTGGGAAATTTCCCAAAATGTGGAGAGAATCGGTAATTATTCCCATACTCAAAGAAGGAAAAGAGGGAAACAACCCACAAAGTTACCGACCAATAGCATTAACAAGCTGTCTATGTAAGACAATGGAGCGAATGGTCAACGCCAGATTGAGTTGGTTTCTAGAAGAAGGAAAACACATATCAGAATATCAATGTGGATATAATAAAGGAAGAAGTACAATAGATCACATAATAAGACTAGAAACAGCCATAAGAGAGGCCAATTTAAACAAACAACATCTAATAGCCATATTTTTTGATATAGAAAAAGCATTTGATCAAACCTGGAAACATGGTATAATGAAAGATCTGCATAAATTAGGATTAAGAGGTCGACTACCAAACTTCATAAAAGGATTTTAACAGATAGACTCTTCCAAGTACAAATAGATACTACACGTTCTGATTATCAAAAAGCAAGAAGAGGGAGTACCACAGGGAAGTGTACTCTCCCCACACTTTTCAAAATAAAAAATAAATGACATAATAAAAAACATCAAATCAGGAATACACTGTAGCCTTTATGTTGATGATTTTACAATATATTACAGATCAAGAAACCTCAACACAGCAGAAAGACAACTTCAACAATGTTTACATCAAATAAACAAATGGACACTGAAAACGGTTTTAAAATATCAAAACGAAGACAAAATCTGTACACTTCTGCCAAATGAAAAATTACACAATAACCCAACTCTAAAACTAGGAAATGAAGAAATACCAGTAGTTCAGCAATATAAATTTCTAGGAATGATCTTTGACAGCAAACTGACCTTCAGACCACATATCAATTACCTAAGAACAAAATGTTTTAAAGCTCTCCAACTACTGCGAACAGTAGCCCATACAGAATGGGGAGCTAGCAAAGAAACCCTTCTTAAGCTTTATAGAACGTTGATCCGCTCCAAACTGGACTATGGCAGCATGGTCTACCAATCAACTAGAAAATCTTATCTAAAAACAATAAACACAATACATCATGAAGGCCTTCGGATAGCTCTAGGAGCCTATCCCACCTCACCTATAGAGAGTCTACATGTAGAGGCAAACGAACCCCCATTACAACTAAGAATGGAGAAACTAGCTACTCAATACTATCTAAAACTCTCTTCCTGTCCTTCTAACCCCACACACGATTGTGTAATTACACCAAATCACAAAGAGAAATTTAATCTTAACACAAATAAAATCAAAACATTGGGACTCCGGATGGAAGGAATCATCCAAGAAAATAATTTACCGTCTAATCAAATACTTAAAACCAACCAAACAAACATACCACCATGGATAATCAAAAATCCAAACATAATATTAAGTTTAAACAAATTATCAAAATCAAAAACACACCCCACAACATACATTGAAAAATTCTCAAAAATAAAAGAAAAATATCAAAACTATGAAAGTATTTACACAGATGGATCAAAAGACGAAGAAAAAACAGGCAGCGCAGCAATAACAAAAAGAAACAATTATCAAAAAACGCTTGCAAATGAAGCATCAATTTTCAGTGCAGAAGCCTACGCAATAAAACTAGCACTAAATTTCATATCAAAAACAAAGGAGAAAACTATATTATTTTCTCAGATTCATTATCGGTATTAACCTCCCTAAAAGGAAAAAGACTGGAAAATCCATTAATACAAAGTCTTCTATATAAACTACATTCAATGGAAAAAAGCAAAATATCATCTTCTGCTGGATTCCTAGCCATGTTGGCATCCAAGGAGGAGATAAGGCAGATAATGCTGCTAAATCATCTTTAAAAATGACAATTGACGAAAAATCTTCAAATTCCATATACAGACTTAAAATCTAAAATATATAAATACATAAGAAACAAATGGCAAAATCTATGGAAAACCAAACCGAAATAAATTATTTCAAATTAAACCTAAAATAGGAAAATGGGGAAATGATCTTGGAAATACTGAAAAAACAAGTTGTCATAACCAGAACACATATAGGACACACATATTTAACTCATTCTCACATATTAAAAAAACAAAACCACCAAAATGTAAATGTGGAAGCCTAATCACAATAAGACATATTCTATCAGAATGCAAAATCATAACTAGAATAAGACAGAAATATCTCAATGGAAAAGATTTAAAAGAAATATTCAAAAATACAGACACAGAAAAAATATACAGTTTTCAAGGAAATCAAGGAAATAAAAATCCTCAATAAAATATAAATAGTGTATATATATATATGCTTATAGACATATATATGCATCTATGAATGTAAACAGTAAAATACACAATCAGAAACGGTCACAAAAAGCAATCCCAAAAAATACAGAAAATTATGAAACCCAACAACCTTTCATCTTTTTATACAAAATAAATAACCTTTAAATTCATAAATTAATAAGGCTTGAAAATTCATCCTAAATTAATAAGGTTCCACCAGTTCTAACTTTCATGGCTAAAACCTACGATGATATTGCATATTGTAGTGAACTGCCCTCATTGTCTTCATATTCCATTGGTAAGTTCTACTCAAGCAGCTTCTTCCCATGAACTTCTGCTTTGTGGAACTGACTCCCAAGAAGATGTTCCCTTTGATCAATCTTAACCTGTTCAAGTCTAGGATTAACTGTTATCTTCCCCATATATCACCATAAACTGTGTTTCTTATGCTGTAAACATCTCTTGAGTGGCTTTTGGGCCTTGTACAGAGTGAACATCATTGTAAAAAAAATTGCAGTTAACACCTACAATGGTTTATTAAAATAACTAAATCTGTCTACCTTTTGACTCAATTGGAAACTGAACCTATGTCTACCTATCTATTAATTCTCATTGTTTTTGTTCTATAAGATTTATATTTGATATTAAATAAACCAACCTGAGTTGATATGTTGTTAAATTAACCAACCTAGCTAACACTATATCTTCATCCCAATAAATATCCTCCTGGCTGCTTGTTGGTGTTGTAGTAAAATAATCAATTTCGTCCTCTAGTAATCTGGTCAGACCCTCACAGCAAAACCCTATTTTTGTGATTTGGAACTGAGGCATCAAAAGTTGCAAGCATTTTATCTAACAGTGTTAAACAGGAGCCTATCCTACTACAGGATAATGATTTCATACTTCAAAAACTGCTTGCTGCTGTTAAGAGTGGGAATCCTACCCTACTCTCCCTATTCATCTGATCTGTTTCTTTTGATTACAACTTCTTCTAGAAGATGCATATACATATCAACAGGTATACATCAATGCAAACCAATTCAAAACTGTTTTCTGACAGCTTTTTGACCTCTTATGATTCCACTTTTTAATATGAAGGAATAAATTCATAGTTGGTGATAATAAAGTTGTGTATGGGTCAAGTTATGACATTTTAAAGTTTGTGGTTCAAAACAGCCTTTTATTTAACCTAATATTAAAATACTAGCAGTAGAGCCCGGTGTTGCCCGGGGATGTAACAGTAAGAGATAGATCAAGTATCGACCATCATAAAGACTGAAAAATAAAATTGACAAAGATTATTGTTTAAGGTTGACAAAAAAAAAAAATAACTAAGACATGCATGTCTGCAATACGAAAAAAGTGTGCAAGACAATAAGAAACACTACCTGCCAAAAAAAAGTGAAGTTTTTTTGAAATCGGTTGAAAAATGTAGGAAATCTGATCCCATATATGAATGAACACACACACACACACAAACAACCTGGGTTTTTAAGTATAACTCGATATGAGTTGTCCCCCTTTCATTCTCGCGATGCCTCTTAATCGTGCTTTTAAATTGATTTCATGCAAAAACAATTGTTTTTCCAATTTTTGGCGCTGTCAGAACCACCGCAAGGTGATTTTACGTAGTCCTGTGAAGTTTTGTTGAAAAATGTAAGAAATCCAATCCGGTATATAAACGTACAGACACACACACACACACACACACACACACACTGGGTTTTATAATAATTATGATTTCTCTATGCTTTGATTTTTGTAGGCACACTTGTGACTAGGATGTTTGGTCAGAAAAAGACAAAAGATGGTTGCACATTAAACACAATGTCATTTGATGAACTTGCTGTCCACTATCCAGATTTACCTCTTTTTATGCTGGACAAGCTGTCTTTATCAAAGGAAAGCCTACACTCTATCCATGTCCAGCCATCTCTGTTTCCAGTCCTTACTCTCCTCTCCAACCTAGGAGCCAGTGAGAAGATGGACAACAACACTGTAAGGTTAGTGGAATCAACAGCTAAACTGTAACAAGTATATTTTTGTAAAGTTTAATGACATTCTGAGATATTCAAAAAAAAGTTTAGGACTTTCTTTTTATTATTTTTTTTTTGAATCTGTTACCTATCAAAAGACAATAGACTCAACCCTGGACAAAATTCCACCTAACAATGGACAAACAATGAACATATGTAAAACAAGTATAATTAATTTTTAAATGACTTAATATTAACAATTCATCTCTGGCAAAAACATTCAGAAGTGTTTTAATAATTTGTCAGGAAGTGTATTTATTTGAATAATAGGTTAATATGATTTAGTTTCCTAATTTTTTAAAAGAGAATTTGCTGCTTTATTTTACAAATAAAAACAGCTTGGCAAAGTTTAACAAATGTACCTGCCAAAAAAAAAAAATTGTGTCAAAAGAACAGTTAAGGTTAAAATTAGCTGGCCTGCTTCTTCAAGAAGACACAAGAAGGCAGCCATGTTGGCAGGTAAGTCACTTGACTTCTACACTTTTGACACTGCATCAATAAAACCCAAATATATGAAATTGAATTTATGCATTTTCTTCTTTTTTTTCATGATAATTGATAGATATTTTATAAATTTATGAATTAAAAAGACTTGTTTTCATAATTATTTATCTATAAAATGGTAAATAATAAATAAAATAAATAATAAATAAATAAAATAAATAAATAAATAAAATAAAAAATAAATAAATAATAAATAAATAAATAAAATAAAATGATAAATATTGCATTGTCATTAGTTCACATAATGTAAAATTATTGTAGTTTTTTATGAATTTTTGAATAAAATAATTTCTTTATAAAATGATAAATAATGAATCTTTTTAAAAAGTAAATAATAAATATTGCATTGTACTTGGTTCACATATTTTTATAAACTTGTAAATAAACATTGCCAAGGGAGTATCGGTAGTTTAAAGTAATATTGGTGTCAACAGAAAAACTGTCCTTTAGTAACATCATTTTTTTGTGGGCATGAAGGTTAAACATTGCTAAAGTATATATTTTAACAAAGACTTTTTGAAATGGAGTAAAAATGTGAGATTTCAAGTTTATTAATCATTTAACTTATAGGGATTTTTTTCCTTAGTATAACTTATTTATATATTTATGGATGGATAAAAAATCTCTACATAACAGAGTACATGATTTATATTAAAACTGATCAGATATCATTTATGCTTGATGTGAATTCATAGAATTTGAACTACTTTTTTATTTTCTTTAAATGCAGCATCTGTGATAAATTTGTCAGTTTGGTGGAGCCTTTAATTGGAAGCAGGGTGTACCAAGTACGGGAACTTGCAGCGAGTGCCCTGACTGCATTGACAGCGCCATCGAAAAGACATAACAAAGTCGTCACCCTCTTGCATGATCTTGATAAGATAAAAGGCCAACATAACAAGGTGCACGGAACACTGATTTTAACTGAAAAACTTTTAATGTCCCAAAGCTGGAGGTGAGACTTTTTTTCATTTACTGTATTCTTCACAGATATAAGTATATAGACAAAAGTGTCTTATATAGATTCGACATTTAACACTTTCAATGCTGCATTGTTATAACATTGTTGTCTGGTCGTACTAATCCATTTTGCCAAAAATTGGAATTGCTTTTAACCTTTAATAAATAACTATAAAGACAATGATTTCTCATGAGTACTGTTTTGTTGGTTTAGATCAGATACTTTGCAGTACAAACTAAGCTAAATGACACCCCCAAAACACAATATAATAAAGAATATGTCTCAAAACAAATTGTATTGTATGCTATTATATGTCTACCCTGGTTTTGAAATAGCACAAACAGAAAGGACTAACATTTCATGGTGTCTTTAGACATTTATATATTTTGACAACAAGCAATGTACATTTTGTAAGGGTGTATAAAACACGTCTTGAAAATGGGATCTGCTGTATCTTGCTCAGATAGATTTTAGCCATCAGAAAGATATCTCTGCGATGTGATGGGACATGTAGCAATGTGTGTTAAAAATAGTTGATGAACAGCTCTATGGTAGTTCCTTCATATTGGTTCCTATGGCAGAGCAACCAGAAGAAAGCCACTTCTTAAACCTGTCAACATCAAGCAGTGAAACTGAAATAGCACTAAGAGAGTAGGTGCTGTGATCCATTATCAGCTTTTCAGATGACTCTGGATCTGCTCAATTTTTGAAGATTTTAGGATGGAGTAGTCATCAATGGACAAATCTCAGTTGCCCCCTACACATGCATTGAGAAGCTGATGTAATCAGCCATCAGAAAATACTTGCATCTGATTGGTCTATTTTTCAGTAACAGGCTCACTCATGCTCCACTGGTTTTTTTTGTCCCTTAACAATGCATAATCCACTTAGCAAGCTTGAGTAAATGGATTGTGTTATGATAAGCATATAGTGGCAAAACAAAGAAGAAACAAGAAAAATTTAAAGAAAAACAATTGTATTAATGTAAAATACAACAAATGATAAATCAGTGTAGATGTCTCTTGTGTGAAAAAAGAGATAAGTGGAGTTGTAAAAGGCGTCTGGTGAGGCACACGGATGGAGAGTGAGTAGAGTTGTGACTTACTGGGGCAACAGTCTTTGGCAAGCTGACTGAGTCTGATGTCTTTTGGAGATGGGAAGTCACTTTCTGATGAAATCTTTGAACCTGAACCAAAATACCATCCAACTGCTGAATGTCCTTTTATAGGCTCAAATCGGCTCCAGTTTTATTTTGTTTCTTTAGGCAGGAGTGGGTGCTATTGGGTGGAAATTCTGGATTGTATTGCTTTTTTTTTTTTTTTTTTCTTTGAGTATGTGAGTAACAATGGAAGATATATGTGAAGCTCTGTGCAGTTAACGGAACTTTAGTTCAGTTTTGGGTGTTTGAGGCATTCACATCTGACCAGTGGCGAAAATTAGTGTAGCATGAATCAGAAGATGATCTGGTTTTAGGAAGAATGTAACAATGGTAGTACAGAATTTAGAAGAAATAACAAGTAGCCAAAATTTATTAAGAGCTACAAAAGACAGGACATTGTGGAGAGCCATGATCATCAACATCCTAAAGAGACATGACACACAGGAAGAGAAGAAATACACTGTTTCTGGTAGAATTCATATATTCTCTTCTTTGCGCATCTTTTGGTATAACACAATTCAATGCAATTTGGGGTGTGTGAAAAGGCCAATCTTAGAGAAAATTTACGCCATATCAACTGGTGATGAGGGAAGTCACAATGACAATCTTAAGTTGAATTCTAATCCAGATTAATATGGTTTTGGAATTTGCAGGTTTGAAATCAATTCAGAAGAGAGATTTTTGGTTATAGAATAGGAATCTTCACTTGTGTTTCACTTGTGTTTATTTGGACAAAAATAGCACTCTTTTCTTGAATGGACTTTTATACAATATCTAAGAAAAAATATTAGTTTTCATAAATGTTTCTTTCGCTTTAATTTCAGTTGCTTTTTATTCCAGATTGTCATTCTACAACAATCAATAACCAGAACAGACTTAGCATAGATGTTTCCCTGAACACAACAATCTTAATTTCTTCAAGTCAAGAATCAATCATTATCTATCCTTCTTATCCTCATAATCTTCATTTCCTATCATCTCCTCTTTTACTCATAGCACATCTCATTCATCATAAACATTTTAAAAGTAACCTTCTACCTTTAGTCGTTTTTAAGCCTTGTATTTTTTTTATATATTATTTATTTTTGGATGTGTGGATTGTTTAATGGATAATGGCTTATAATGAGAAATTGGAGAGCTGAGTTTGAATTCCTAGTGAGTTCATTAGATTCACTTATACGCAAATACCTTTGGGAAATTTATGAATCCAACTGTTCTCCCCTTTGCTATGGGTTAAATATTAGAACAGACTGGGTTTTCAGTCTTGGTTGGCAGCCAGTTTAGGAGAAGGATAAATCTGAATTCAAAACTGTATGGAGACTTGGTGAAGCACATACTATAAATTTCACAATAAACCTATGATCCCAACTATGCTCAGTCTCCTTTCTTCCTTCCATCCTTCCATATTTTTATTTTATTTTAATGTTTTTTTTAAAAAAAAATTTTTTGTGTGTGTCATTTTTTTAAAGTGTGCATATGACTTTGATTCTTTCTTTCCTGTTTTAGTAAGAAGGATATGAAGGTGATTTTGAAAAAATTAATTGTGATTCCCTTTCCTCGGCACTCAACATCGACACCTGCATCGTGTGGTATGATTGAATCCAGGTCTGTCCAGGTGATCAAAAATGCTGTTCTGGCCACAAATGGTGGACAGTTCTTAGGTGACTTGTGGAGTCCACTTTGTGTGCGAATGTGGAGACAGATTGAGAACTTCTCACGAGGTTCTTCGTCTCTTTCAGAATCGGTAAGTGCCCAAAATTCTAAGATTTGTTTTTAGTCATCTTTAACACCTTCAGCACCAACGTTTTTTTTTTTTTTTTTTTTATCTATATAAGCCAAGAATAGAATAGAACAATTGTGATTCTCCAGAAGAAGAAAATATAGCTTTGCTAGAAACAAATTATTAATCACATCAGTATGTGGAGGACAAAATGAAGATAAGGTGTGAATTTCAAAAAAGGGGAAATTACATCATTAATATAGTTTGATGATTAACAGACAAAATAATGAAAAAGAAGTTAACATGCTTTGACAGTGAACATGTTAAAAATTATTTTAATATTTATTTGAATAAGTAGCTGTTTATGTACCTTGTTATATCACAGGTAGGATTTATTAAACAAACAAATTAAGACTTTTCTCACTCTTAACTTTAGTGGTAGGGACAAAAATGAAACAATAATTATGATTGTATTTTAGTACTGACTGTATGTAAACCCGGGATATGCAGTCATAATTTGGGGTTTTCTTTTCACTTCTTACTAACTTTATTGCTACTCCACAATTGTATTTTTTGACTTTAGTGATATTAACAAATTAAATATATCTGGTGGTTATGCAAAAATTAATGATTAAATTTTGAATTTTGCAATTTTTATCTAAAAATTTGTTTTATCAAGTTTCAATCAGTATGGATTGAAAAGAAAGGCATTGCAATGGATTGAAAATACAAAGGGAAAACTGTATTTTCCAACGTCAATGTGGACTTTCACAAGTAATTTTATTTAAACAGGTATTAATAATAACTGATCAAAAATACAAAGTATCTATATTTAAAAATAAATGATAAAATGGCAATCAAAAAATGCTGTTCTGGCCAAAACAAAGTAATAGTTTCTGTTAAAACAAAGTGTCTTAATCCAATCAAAAATGCTGGACTTTCTAATAATAACCAGGTGATCAAAAAATAGCAAGAACAAACAAATGAATTTATTTAAACAAAAATGTATCTAATAATAACCAGGTGATCAAAAATGCTGTTCTGGCAAAAAATGCACAAACAAAGTATCTAATAATAACCAGGTGATCAAAAATGCTGTTCTGGCCACAAACAAAGTATCTAATAATAACCAGGTGATCAAAAATGCTGTTCTGGCCACAAACAAAGTATCTAATAATAACCAGGTGATCAAAAATGCTGTTCTGGCCACAAACAAAGTATCTAATAATAACCAGGTGATCAAAAATGCTGTTCTGGCCACAAAGTAACTAATAATAACAAAAATAAAATGTCCTTGTTTTTATTATTATTAGTTACTTTGTTTAAATAAATTCATTTCGTTTTTTTGCCTTGAGAAAGTCTACATTGGATGAAACGCATCAGCAACTATTACAGTTTTTCTATTGTCATTTATATTTATAAATATTGTCTTTTCTACAGGTTAACTCTGAGAAATTTTCACAGTACTATATGTATAACATAAATTCATTATTAATAATTTTATTATAGAAATAAATTGAAAATCAAGAAGAAAGGAATTGTCTTGTTAGCAACTAAGGCAAGCATTGCTGATGAATAGGGCTATTATATGCATAATGTAAATGTATTGCTAATGATTTAATATAGAAAGCATTACAAATAGTTTTACAATAGGAATTCACTAACAATTAGAAAAGAATTTTCAGTGGTTTAAAGTTCAGGCAAGGAATGTCAACAGAATAGGGTTATTATATGTTTATTTTAAATGCATTGAAAATGGTTTTACTATAGAGATGTATTGAAAATCAGGAAGGGATTGTCATTGGTCAAGAATGGAGGCAAGTATTTCTAACAGAATAGAGCTGTTGTCAGTATAATTATTAGATGTATTACAAGTGCATTTTATTCATTAAAAATTAAATGCTTGTATATTATCATAATTATTGCGTGTCATATTAGATTTATTAAATTATAGTCATTTGATATTGAATTGGTTTAATAATGTTGTAAGAAAATGACTGCAGAATTTACACATTTGATATAAGTAGGATGCAATTATAAAATTACTATCCATTTATCTGGAAGTTAAAAATGATTTCAGACAAAAAGAAATTATGGCATCTAATTTAAGTTTAAAATAATAGAAAATTCTACTCCCATTATGTTACTGAAAGAAATAGGCAATTCTCTAAGTGGACTTTTCTAGTAACAAAGAAGATTTTGTTTTTTTTTACTGTTTTTCACTCTCACTGGGCCTAAGAGCTACTCAAGGTAGAGGATTACTGAACAAAGTTGTTGAAAGTAGATAATGATTGACCTGAGACTTGAAGAGGTTAAAATTGTAGTGATCAGAGAAGCATCCTCTTAGGTGTCTGTTTAACAAAGATAAGGGTTCTTTGAAAGAAGTTGTCCAGGTGGAACTTCCTCCTTACCAATGGAATATAAAAGGAATGGCAATGATTCAACCCTGTATATGTGACATGGCTGATCTTAGCTGTTAATGTCTGAATTAATGGAACTAAGAAATGTAGCTAGTTAGAATATTTGCCATAGAAATAGCAATAAATTAGTGATAGGCTTGTGATGTTTTGTCTGTGGGGGGAAAAAGGCTGTAAGGTTGAAAATAATTAATTGCTCACAAGGCCACCTAAATGCTTTTGAACTCTGTGAAAAGTCTGGATTGAGCAGCACCAGCCCAGATATGGCAGTAATACTTAATTTTTGGTCTGATCTGAATTTTGTAGAAGATAGAACATGCATGTTTCATTAAATAATATAGACAAGTTTTGTCTATTTATTTTAAGCAAATTCCTTTCATATCGTCTGATAAGCTTAATAACATTATCATTGAAAGATGAAAGAAAATCACCATATTGATACATATTTTTAATCCTATCTAAGCTTTCGCTTACTTAAGCCATCATCAAAGATGACAATTACATTACAATAAATTAAACACACACACACATATATATATATATATATATATATATATATATATATATATATATATTAATAAACAAGTATAAAGCTTTGAAGTTTATATTGTCATTAAATCCTAAATTGTGTATGAGCTTTTTGATAATTTGAATTCATCAGTGGAACAAACGTTTTATTCTGATTAATTTTTTTAAAATCTTACTTTAATTATGTTGAAAATAGAATGTAAAAATGGAGTTGATTTTAAATGTACGTTTTTGATGGGATCTCTCTCTCTCTCTCTCTCCTTCCAGATGGACTCCACAAGTGTGTTATCTGAATATGCAGAATTACTACTTCGCTGCACAACTGCGAGTTATGTTGCAGGGGAAAGCGACAGTTTAAAGGAAGTCATTAATTTGCTCATCACATCGAAATGCTATGAAGTCCAAGAAAGGAGTTGCCAAATTCTACAACAATATTTGCAGTCCGATAAGTTGCCAGTCACCTTCTGGGAGGTTGTCATGGTAACTGTTATTTTCTAACATTCTTTGTGCTTAATTGTCACCATATTAATATATTTGTTGATGCAAACTTTAATTATATATCAGCAGTATGCATGGTATGACTTAAACTATCCCAAAACATGTTACTTTGACTGTCACAAGTTACTACACACAGATCTATTAGTAATCTAAACCTACTTGTGTACTTAATGCTTTCAGAATTCTTTGTTATTTACTTAGTCTTACTAGTAGATGGCATAAATAGGGCATCTGGTGAGGATCAAACTATTTATTAGTTATGGCCAATGAAATCAGTTTATTAACCATTACCTCATTGTGAACCTCCTCAAAATTCATATAGGAAAATATTTTTCATAAAAATATATTAAATATACAGATTGCATTATACTCTCAGAAAAATATATTTCAGTCAACCATGATGATTACCTTACTACTTGCAGTTCTATTAATGATACTATTGGGTTAAAAAAATCCTCTCTCCATGCTATTCAGTGATAGAACCTGAAAAAAATTAGAGTATAATTTTTACAATAATTATTTAACCAGGAAAAACTTTAGAATAGCAAAAGGGAATGAGAGATATTTTTTAAGGAAATATTGTTTTTGTGGAAATTCTTGAAAATAAAGGACAATCATCGATGACTGATTCAGTTTTTTTTTTTTTTGTTTTATGGCTTTCCAGGTTATAAATAAATTTATTAAGTAGATAAGCCACCATTGTAAATAATGACTGAATTATTTTTGATTTTATTCAATTTCTAAATTTCAAAGATGACCCATAGATTTCTATAAATTTTACTAGAAGTAATTTTGTAATAATATTTATGTTAATAAAGTTAACAGAGATCAATTATGAAATCTGACTTCCAACATCAACTTTAACAAAATATTACAATAACAATCATAAGTAGGAATGCAGGTCATTATTTAAAGAAGTAAGATTTGAAATTGTCAATGTTTTCCATTTCACTGAAGCACATGAGATCATTATTGCCTCCTCTCTCTTTTCCTTTTCTTTACTTTTCTTTTCCCTTTCTTTCCCTAAAATCAAATAGCACCTTTCATATATCTTTCATTTTTGAGGGCAGAGGACAGGCAAGTTATGACAGATCTATTCTCTAAATCAAGTAGAAGTGGGCCATTGTTTATCTGAGGTAATGTCAGGGCATAGCGTACGTGTTTATTAAGGAATGAAGGAGCAAGCAGAAATATATATTTCTTTTCTCTTTTTTTTTTTTCTCTTTGTAGGACCGCATCATTCATGTCCAGTTGAATGTCAGCAATCACAGCCCGACACAAATCATGGTCCTGGACCTGTTCACAGCAGTCTACTTGAAATGGTCAAGTCATTTTGACCAACACTTTAGCCTTCATTTGAGGATTCAGGACATCAATAATATTATCATTTGGCTTCAGAGTGTCTTGCTTTGTTTGACGACAGGGACCGGCATGTTAGCGGCCATGTTACCTTCCTTTAGTGTATGCATCAAGCTTAAGACATTCTCATCAACAACAACCAAGTAATTCAATTTAATTAAAATTTCCTCCCTTAATTTAAGTGTGTGTGGGTGTGTGTGTATATCTGTCTAGAGTAGTGGTTCTCAACTGAGATCTATATGGGTCATAGGGGTCCATGTAACATTACTGGGATTCTCACAAAAAATAGCAAATCAGGAGTTAATTACTCACATATTTTAAAATTGTTTATTAGATGTTAATTTTACTAGTGTGCATAAATGTTCTATAGAATTTAGTTGTTAAATACAAGTTTATTTTTATTAAATTAGTTTCACTTCAAAATAAACATGTGTATTTACTATTTCTATAATACAATTCCTAAAGTTATCTATTAGTAAAAAATAAAATAAACATTTTTTTTTATCCAATGGTTATGGTGGTCCACTCCCAAAAAATTAAGAGTAAAAGTGGTCCATGGGTAAAAAAAAAAAAATTGGGAACCACTGATCTAGAGTATATGTTTCATACATTTACAAATGTTAAAATTTATTTACATATGTATTTGTGTATGTTTGATATATGTATTTCTATATAAAGATGTGTGCTTATACACATATGTAATATACGGAAAAATATTTGTGAATATGAAAGGATTATGATCAAAATAAGTAGACATAATGTTTGTAACTCATTCAATCAGACATGCCTAAAAGAGAAGTTGCTGCCTAAATACAGACATTTTAAATTATATAATCCAGTAGCCCACCAGAATAACATCACCTGGCAAATTAAACATGGCCTTGTGAAAAGGCAGATCAATGTAATTAATGGTAACTTAATAACTCTCAATAAATGGAAGGAGATACATGACACACTAAAAAGGACAACCACCTCTGAACAGTTTAAAAAAATTCTAAATAGACTAAAACAAATTACTAACAGATCGGAATGTCAATATAGGTTTTTGAACATATATTGAAATATTTTAAATTTGAACAGAACTACTTATCTCATTTGCAATTCTAGCTGAAACACCGTGAAAAATATCTACCAAAAAGATGAAGGTATTTGCTTTGAATAACTCACGGATTAAAAGCAGGAATCCTTTATGTAAGAATATCAAAGATTTCTCAGCCTAAGCAAGAAGAGATTCCAAAATAAATTCTGATTTTTGGTTATTTGGTCAGATTGACTCCCACCTCTGCCTCTATACAAATTGGTCTTATTTCTTTGCTTATAACTTGTGATATTTATATGTTTGTAATATTTGTAATATGTTAAATATTTGCTGTACTGTACCTTTTTTTTTCTCTCTTAAGGTTTGAAGATTTATTCCTGTTATGGTCTGGTGTGTTGTTTGATCAGTTTTCGAATGTGGATTCCTCTCTCCGAATGGCGGTCAGTCAGTCATTAGCTGTTGCTGGTCAGTCCGTGCTTGCATCATCAGCCTTGACAGTCCAAGAAGAGTCACCAGAGTCCCATAAGTTGATTACATTCAAGTATGAATTTTCAAAGTTTTCTTTTTTTTCTCTTTATCAAAATTTCATATGATCTCTTAGGTAGAATTTTTAATTCCTTGAAACAAACCACACATTTTAATACAAACTAGCATTACTAAGAGGAAAGAAATACTACTAATAATTAGTAATAGTTAACAATGCTTCATATAATTAAAAAAAATGAATATTTATGCTACTTAGTTTCAAGCAGTCGACTTTCTTGACATCTGTTAAAATTATCAATGGATAAACCTCAGCTCTCTCCCACCTAATATGTGATGTGAGGCTGATGTAATTGGCCATCAGCTGATCCTTGATTCCTGACACTTACGGCCATATCACATGGAAACACAGGTTCCTGTACCACTAAAGTTAAGCAATGTTGATCCTGGTCAGTACCTAGATGGGTGACCGCTTGGGAATACCAGATGCTGTAAGCTTGAATGTGAGTGGTGCAATGTATAATGGCTCAGAATTGGAAACTGGAGAGCAAAGTTCCAATTCCAATCAGGTTTATTTGTGTGCAAATACCCTTGGGAAAGGTATGAATCCACATTTTCTTCCCAGTTATGGTTTAATTAGTAGGACTTGTATCAGTAAATCATTATTATCTCTAAAAACATTCTTACAATCCCAAAACATTTCCAAGCTTTAATTAAACTGCAAAAGTTTGATAAGACATAAAATCAAATCAATCAATCAATATCAACTGGCAACAAGGAACCCCACAGTGACAGGCACAATTGAAGAGCTGCAGCCTTTTCTACAACATCAGCAGAAACGGTTTTAACAATTTCAGATGAAGCTGACTGAAACAATGATGTAGATTATGAACATATAATGATCAACTGTGATTAAGTATATGTCATATAATGGCAATCTTCCAAGACCTTTGAATAGCAAATAATGACTAGATTATTTACATGTGAATCAACAATTCTGATGTTTGTGCTCTGTCAAGGATCAAAGCAAATGTGGCTAAGATCAGTGCATGCTCTCTGAGCTTTGAATTGAGCATATTCTCTTGAGCCTTTGGACTGGGATTAGAGTGTAGTATCGATTCTCCTTCTCTCTGCCATGTTTCTGCCTTTTAAGCAGTCCACTGAAAAGCTTTGAGGGATGTTTGGCCCTGGGGATTCCATTTCTGTGGAAGCACTTTCTTAATTGCACTAAAGAGTGAGTGTTGGTGGATACTGATACCAGTGTTGCAGTAGTTGCAGAGACTGGGCAGATTTTGTCCTTGATCTACATGTATACGTATGAGAAGCACACATTAAACTGACCATGTGTCGTATCACACCACCAATATTGGATCAGAGTCTCACATCTGTGCTCTCTGTGGAAAATATTATACAGTGTAACCCGGATATAAGAGAGTTGTTGGGACCGGAGAAGAAGTCTCTTATATCCGGGTTTGGTCTATTTTATATACATTAACACAGGCTCTAATTTGAGACCAAAGAAAATCTCTCTTATATCCAGGTCACACTGTACATACAAAATATAGCTGACGATTGCCAAGAGGAAAGATCTGTCTTAAATATCAACTGGCATTAGTAGGGAATATGCAACTATATCAGCCTTTAAACTGATTCCTTTTTTTCTTTTATGGACAGTATAAAAATTCCTTTTTTTCTTTAAGCACAGTATAAAAATGGTATAAAGCAAGATGGTGAGAAAATGTGGCTTAGAAGAAAACAATGTTGCACAAATTTTCCAAGTAAAGACATTATTCAACATCTTGGCTTTGGGTTTAGACCAGTGTTTCTCAACCTTTTTTTACTTCAGGGCCCACTTGTTGAATAACTAAAACTCAAGGTGCACTTTAAATTTTAATAAGGAAAAATGAATCATGAAATTTGAAAACAGGAAAACAATGAAGAAATCTCCTGAAATAAGCATTTATTTTGAAGACATTACCATTGTATATTTAAGTCTGCTTCTGTGAAACTTGGGCTTCATGTGCTTTGGCAATTTTTTGAATGTTCAGCCTTTTATGTTTTGCCTTGAGGAAGGAAAAGAATTATCCACTCCTTAAAGATTAAGGAATTTAGCATCCAGTTTAAAATATTAAATGATAAAAACTTGGCATAGATATGGAAGCGATGTGCTTAGTGTCTAGCTTTTTAAAAATAATGAGTTTTTGAATATAAAAATAATTCATAAATTACTCTTCTGTTAAAGTAGGGCACACCTGGCTACCTTTTAGGGCACACTGATGCACCCTAAAAGGTAAGCTTAAATATTAATGAAATACTTAAATGCAATGATCAATTTTGAGTGCTTCTGTAGTTTATTGATGCCTATTGTATCTATTCCTCCCTACCTATTGTGATTAAGGTCCAATCAAGAGTCCTCCACAGGAGCTAGCTTAAATACTGCCTGATAGAGCAGCTTTTAAGCTAGTATGTATATATATATATATATATATATATATATATATATAATTATTTATTTATTTAACAATTATAGCATAAATATGTTATAAGATCACTACAAAAATAGCCATTTTGTTTCATCACTTCCAGTGTCTTATCATTTGATGATGTTGAATGTAAAATAAATGGTTTTAAAAGTTTCAAATTAATTAATGATCCTTCGCAAGGGGAAAACGTTGTTACAAAAGCTAGAATGACCAATTGAAACACAAGTATAGGAAAATTCAAAAAACTTGACAACGAAGTAAGGTTATAATAGCTATTCAGATCTGTAAAATTGGGGTTATATTAAAAAAGAATTTATTCTAACCAATATGTATTAAATTATATGATAAAATTAAAAGTAAAAAATTACCAATTTTAAATATGTTATAATTTTTAAATAAATAATTATATCTGCTCTACACTGTATTGAGCACTCTTTTAAGAATAGTAATTGTTGGTTATTGGAATTTATTCCGTATGCACCAATCATATACTTGGATATATATATATATATATATATATATATAATGTGTGTGTGTGTGTAAATTTCAAATTACAAATTATAAAGATAATGTTATGATTAATTTTTCAATATGTATATGATACATGTATATAAATGGTATTTGTGTTTTTTCCTAGAAAACTGATATTATGATATTCACTTAAAAAGTCTCTATGAATCTCTATTTGCAGGACTTACCAAACTTCACTTCACCTACTTCAAGATGATGTTAATGAAGTGAGAGGTTGGGTCGCTAAGTTTGTCCATTCACTTCCATTGTCTTCCTCACTCAAACAGGTGGGATCTTTTTTTTGCTTTTTAATATTTTGTATTGGTGTTCGAATATTGTTATATTTTGACAAGTACTTTTTAAAAGCATCAATGACTTTTTAATTTCTTAATAGGAAAACTTTGAAACAAATGGACAAAAATAATAACTCATTTGTTGTTTAACTTAATGGGAGCAAAAGAAAACACACACTTGTTTTTTTATTGACTTTAAAAGTATTTTCTGTTTTATTTAACTGGCTATGGTTCAAGAAAATAATACTATAAATGTTTTTACGCTTTACAAAATCTATAGGCTGTATAAAGGATTCTATTAAATGATTTTGGAAGATTGCTGTTATATGACAGCTAATAGTTCCTGTTGGTGTTTGTTCTTCCTCCAAGAGTACTGATAGGCTCCAGTAAATATCCTATTCAGTACTACAGATTTGCTTATCACTTGCCTGACTTAACTATGTCTCCTAGGAACAGGTACATTTGCATTTCTGTTCATAAGTAGGAATAACTTTCATGATACTTCTAAGTTACTAACTTAGAAGTATCATGATCAAAAGTGCTGTATTTTTTTAAGGCTATCTGAGTAAAGCTTAGCTTAGCAGATATGTCATTTTGGCGTATTGGGCATCATACATTTTTACTCCTACTGTAACTTTCTTGTTCATACTGCTTTCACTTAATAATAATGATGAAGTTATTTGAGTAAATAATACTAGAAATACCCATGAAAATTTCACAGTTTTGCTATTTGAATTTTCTGATAAATCATAATTCTTAATTTAATAATCAAATAAATAACGTACTTGTTTTATGATTATGAAATATGTGGAAATTCTCCCATTGCATCATTAAATATTTGAGCTTAACAACTTTAACAAAATATATCAATAACAATCATAAGCATGACTGCAGGTCATTATTAAAAAAGAAAGAGGATACAAATGAAAAAAATTGAAATTGACAAATTTTTCCATTTCACTGAAGTAGATGTTAAACATGAGTGTTATCACTTCCTTTATCTCACTGAAACCAAACAACATCTCTGATATGTCTTTTCTGTCTTTCCTCATGATCAAAATGGAATAGTCCATTATTTATGATCTATTAGCAGGGTGTAAAGTAAAGGTTAACTAAGGAACAAGCAGAATTATGATAGTATTGTGGAGGTAGGCATTCTTACCTGTTACCTCAACTTAGCATATAAGACCTGTGTGGTAATAAAAAAAAAGGCATATCTCATCTCCCCTCTCACTTGTAATCATCTATCACAATAAAATAAACGTTTTTCAGTACTAAAGCTGAATGAATCAAATAAAGCTTCATAAGCTTCTAACTTAGAGTTGTTACTACATTACAACCTGGAAACCATTTTTGGGATAAGTGTATCTTGTATACCATTGAATAAACTAGTTTATATTATATCCCTGTATTCATAATAAAAAATAATTTCAGACAATATTTTTTCATATATATTTTGTTGATTAATTGTTTATTTTTTCTTGTAGTGTGACAGTCTGCAGAGTAATATTTGTTTACAGGTAATATGTTTTTATTTATTTTAAAAGCTTTTTCAAGCTGATTGTCTTTTAATTCTTAAATGAATCATCACTTGAATATGTCTATGATGCAATGGCACTTTAAAATAGATTTCTTGGTGCTTTACTGATATTTATCTCTCTCTATGTTATTTTTTGATGGATTCTTAGATTTGGTGGGGATAAAAAAAGTTTTTTTCCCCCTCTCTGCTGACCACTTTTAATTTTTTTTTTTTTTTTTTTTTTTGTCTCACCAGTTGTTATTTGACCAGTTAATAACTGACCACAGTGGAGCTGCTTTTCCTTATTCTATGTGAAACTCTTTGTCCTGGACACAAATCAGGACACCCTGATCCACTTCAGACATTGCTAGCAAAAAAACTTCAATTAAGGTGAGTAAAATATATAAAATGTTAAACTTTCTTTCTCTCTCTTTCTCTACATGCACACAGTTTCATTTAGATTCTTTTTTTCTGTATGTTTTTGTTACTTTTGTTGTTAAGTATCCCACATTGTAATAATAGAAGATCTGCCAAGAAAGATGAAATGTTGTAAGAACCTGGGCACAAATTTACTACAAATGATCTAGCAATTAAAGCACTTAGCTTTTTGGGGTACTGAAATTAAAAAATATTAACTAAGCTATTATGTTGTAAAAATTACACAGTGCTTCTAAAAAGTGTATGAAATTTATATTCTAAGGTCTTGGAGGTTTTGGACTTCAAAATTTAAAATTTAAACTTTGTATAAATGTGGGAATCTTTTAGAAATTAAGATGGATTAAAAAATATAATTCACTTTTTTTTTTTTTTTTTAGAGCAGCTTTAATATCACTAAATTCAGTCAGTGCATCACCTGACACTACAATATCACAATTTTTTACAGGAAGATTGGTAAGAGGTTGTAGGATACTTGCACAATTAGGTATGAAGCGTTGGTAAAAATTTACCATGCCTGAAAATTGTCATAAACTTTTCATGTTTGTGGGCACTGAGGATTGTTGAATTGCTTCAGTCTTAGTAGGAGAAGGGGAAATGCCAGCTACACCTATATAGTGGCCTAAAAGCGTAACTTCTGTTTTACTGAACTTGCATTTATTTGGATTCATTACTATTCCATATTTCTCAAATCTTTCAAAAATCATTCTTAAGTGACCCAGGTATTCTTCTGGTGAAGAACTTGCCACCAAGACATCATCGATATAGGCACATATAAAATTTAAAGAATGTAAACTATGATCAATGAACCTTTGGAAAGTGTGACTGGTATTGCAAAGGCCAAACAGTAAGCATAGAAATTCGAACTAACCAAATGCAGTGGTGATAGCAGTTTTTATTTTTGCTTTTAAAATAATTGCAAAAAAAAAATAAAAAAGAGAAAGACAATGTTGACATGACAATGTCATCGCTTTTATATCTTTGTGGTATATTTTTAAGAATAGTTGTGAAATATTTAATTTATTATTGAATTTAATTTTTGGCATTAACTTTGTGATAAATTATTTAATAAATGTCATTTTTCATTAATTTCACAGTGAAAAACATTTTTTGTTTTTAATCCTATCTATTTATTTATGCAGCACAGAAAAATTCAACATACTTTTTTAAAAAAAATACTTATGTTAAAGAAAAACAAATTATTCATAAAAAAATAATTTTATATTTAATATCATTGTTGAAAAAAAATATTAAATTTAAATTAACTTTGTGATAAATTCTTAATGGCACTTGTGAATTTTAAATCAAAAAAGTTTGTTTAAAGATAAAATAAATAAACATTATACTTACTTCATTATCTTAAATAATAAATTTAAGTTAATCCAATGTAAAAATTTCTTTAAAAAGAAACTGAATTTTTTAATCCAATTCCAACAATGAGCTTTCAAATGTTAATCATTCACCACCACTTGCCTTACTCGATTTTGTGTCCTGAGTTGTAGATTGCCTTGATATATATATATATATATATATATATATATAAAATTTCTTCTTCTTATAAACATCATTTTTAGTGGGTACGGGCACATTTGAAAATAAAGCTCTTAAATATAGATTTGATAGGTTCCAATTTGAAAATAAAGCTCTTAAATATAGATTTGATAGGTTCCAATGAGAGGCATGCATTCCCTAAGTATGTAATTGAGCCTTGCCTTATGGCAGTTCCCCATAGCCTCCAACCTTGCCTTATCATGTCAGTTCCCCCAGTAATTTCCAGTTGATTTTATTCTTTTGCACAGAAATATAGATTTGATAGGTTCAATGAGAGGCATGAATTGGTTATTGGAAATTGCCTTGTTCAGTTCCCATAGTAGTTTCCTTGATGGAAAAAAAAATAGAGGTTTGATTCCTGTTGGGAGATGCATTTTTTTCTTTAGAAAGACTTCTGAATCATTTTAAAATTAAATTCTAGTTTTAAATTTTATATTTTTAATTATAGGTTTCTGGTTTCATCTAAAGTTTTTACATTTTCTTTCACACCCAGTAGCCTTTTGTACATTATTTTCTTGCTTGGGGTAAACTGACTAAAAATAACCATCAAAGTATTAGTCACTATTTACTTTAGATATCCAGGTTTTATTTTTCTCACAATAATTTTTTAACTTATTTTCTTTTCCTTTATTAAATCCCCAGATTTACATTTTATCTTAGTGTATTTCCCATGTACAAGCCCCTACTGATATGTGTATGGATATTTATTTTAAAATTTTTATTAACTGTTAAAATTTTTCAAATTAACCACAGCATTTTTAAGTTGCATATTTGTCATAGTAACAATTTTTTTCCTCATATTATTTCAGTTATTTTAAAAATGCTTGTGCAAAGTAAAACATTAACAAAGAAACATAACATAGTTTCCTATGTTCCTTTTCTATAAATATTTTCATGGTAATTGTTCTGATGAGCTTTCCTATTTGGCACCTAGACTATGAATGTAAGCACAGTACTAGATTGGTGGCAAGGTCTCATCATTTTACAGTTGAAATGGGTAGAACGTAACTGTAAGTTCTATGCTAATAGTTTCTTCTTTCACACTTTCTGTGGAACATTCTTCCAGCTTCTTGCTTTCCAGTAAACTTTGATCTTCAAAGATTTAAATGTAGTGTAAATTGTTATCTTCTGTCTTCTTAATTACTGTCCTTTTATTGTTCTCACTGCTTAATAATGTTTTCTTTTTCTTATATTATCTTACACTCAGTAGCCCTTTGTCTTAATGGCTTTATTGCCTTGCTTGTGGTGAAATGATGATTAAAATAAAAAGGAAATTTAAACGTTCAATTGGTTTTCACAAATTGCATCTCTCTCTCTCTCTCTCTCTATATATATATATATATATATATATTATATATGTATGCTATATTTATGGGTTAAAGTGCTCAATATCAGTATGTAAATATAAAAGTTGACATTGAAGTCAACACTCAGAGACAATAGTCAGTTTCATGCTAAATGCAATTATGAGGTCATGTGTGTTGTATTTTTGCTCCACTATTTATATGTACAGGTCAGTGGTGCATTGTAAGTAGTCTTTTGTATTGCATTATGAGTAGTCTATTGTATTATTCTAATGATTGTTTTGGTGGGCATTAATGGTTGTGTTTCAAATTAAAAGGCGGCTATTGAGTGGGAATAAATGTGGATCCAATGCAGTTTTTTGACTATTTATAGTGTTGTTAGTAAACTTTTCTATTTATTATTGATTATTGTTGGTTGTTTTTACTATGTTTTCTTGTATTTTTCTGTGCATATATGGTTTATTAATTTGTTTATTATTTACTTAGTTTATTTGTTTTAATTAATTTATATATATATGCATGGTACTTCTTGGAAAGTGCTTAATATCAGTGATAGAGCTAACATATTCAGTAGTATGGATATGAGTTTGCAACCCTGAGTTTCATGCTTTTGTATGATGATCGCAAAAACATGGAACCCAGGGTTACAAACTCATATCCATACAACTGAATATATATATATATATATATATATATATTTACTTATTTTTTTTTTTTTTTTTTTTGTACTAAAAAACTTAAGGCACTGGACAATTTATTTTGCCCTGGTTGGATGTTTCTAGTTCTTTCATTTATTTTCCTTGGGTACCAATTTGTTTTGATAGACTTACAAGTTGTGCTATCTGAGTTTTTTTTCTGACTAGTATAACATATATATATATATATATATATATATATATATATATTACTTTAAGCATTAAAGTCTGGTCTGGTGGTCTTTAGACTGCTCTGCCATGGAAAGCTTTCACAGTCAAACAAAGTTTAATAAAATAAAATTGCAATATTTATTCATGTTAAAAATATGTGAAATATGGCACATGACTATTTTAAGTGATAAGGAGTGTTGCTCATCTTCCATCCTACATTTAACTTAAGTAAACACAATTAGTGACCCAAACATACTATAATTTTCCTTACACCAAAATGCCAATTCTTACCTCCTATTCTTATTACAGTCACCATAATGCCACTCTATGAAGTCCTATCTCATTCCCTTATGTACAATTTGTCTCTAAACTGCTGCCAATTTGAACAAGGAATTATCTGCTTGCTAATTTTCTCCCAGTTTTCCTGTTTTAATTTTTAACAATAGTAACAAAGTCTAGTTATTGTCTCTTCTAGTGCATATTCATCAAAGTGGCCAGGTAAGAGAGAGAGAGAGAGAGGAGAATGAGTTAAATAATGAAAGTTGGAAACTGGATATTTCCATATGGGCTGAATAAATTCAATTAGCCTAAAACAAACTTGTGTTTATACATTCATATCTTTCTGGGAGAACTGAAACAGTGTCATCAGAAATAAGTGTACATGATTTAGAAAAGGAAAATAATATTGATATATTACTGGAATAACTTTATTTGTTTTTATCAGATTTAATATAGGTGGTAGTGTGTTGTGTTTAAGTATTTGCACAATATATAATGTTCAGAAAATACCAACATTAATGATTTAGTTAGCAATTTTGAGGATTTCAAGTTTAAGAAGCAATTACTAGATCCCTGTCCAGGTATATATAGTTAACCACTTGCAAATTATCAAACAGCCATCTATGTTTGTTTTATATACATATATTATACACCAGAATGCTTCCTCAGTGATGTCTATTTTAGGGTTGTAGAAAGTTTTGAGTTTCCATGACATTAGAATTTTTCTCCTATGGGCCCAACCAAGAGCGATCATTTCTCAACTAGCATTCTGTGATAACTTCTGTATGATCGCAATAATTGTAACCATATTCACCTGCTCAAATGAGATACTTTTATTCAATCCTATGTAGGAATTCTGACTAATTGAGTTTTATTTAATCTGATTTGTCAATCAGAAGGGAAAGATTCTGTTTTGTCCTTAACCATTATTGAAAGTACTCATTCAGAATGACCGTTATCATTTTTAGCCAATGAGAAACATAGTTTTCATTTAATACTAAATCTCTTGAATATATGTATGTATGTCCTTTGAGATACAGCTTAAATGATACATAATACCCCAACCAATTGAGGAGTGTATTGTACCTTGAACCCATACCAAGTGCAGTGCCAAGTTTCATTAAAATTAGATAAGGGATTCTTTAGCTAGAGCCATTTTTCTGTTTTTACAGCATTTTTAACAGGAATTTAGTGTTTATTTTTGATACACATTCTTATGTTAATCTGCATATATAAGGAAAAACTTGCATGTTATAATCCAACTATTATGTGTGTGAAAAATAATAAACATTCTTCATACATTATAACAACATTATTAAATAAATTTAGATATATATAACATAGCATATATTCATATAATTCACTACACTACATTAGAACCTTTTTTATAAACAACTATTTGAAAGGTGGATAGGCTATATGTGTCACATGACTTGATGGTAAATAAATAAATAGATGCAAGAAAGAAACAAGTATCTATAATAAAAAATATACACATTATTTTGAAAAAGACTATACCTGTTTTAAGCTATTACTCCAAATGTTCACTCAATGTGAAGCCCAGTGGAAGAATAAACCTTCTTTTAATATCCTTAAATACAAATTAAAATTTGTAATTAATAATAAAATTGATAACATCATTTTGTATCATGAACAGCTTTAAAAGAAAACCAACGGATTTATGGGTGGTCAAGTGTCCATTTATTAATGTCTGCTGTTAATGAAGCAATCTATGTCAAAAAAGGAATTAAATTCTAATGTGTGTTTTTTGGTTCAGAAATTAGTGTGAACATATAATGTGACCCTTGTCTAGCTTTCCACCGACTGGCCAATGACATCTCCCATTGTGTCTCTGTTCATGTTGGTGTGCGCCAAAAACTGAGAAAGGCACACTGCTCATTCACAAGGAAATAAAAGATGAAAGCAAATGTCATATTGAGAAATGAGAACATGAACCCTGTTTTTAATTGTAGGTGTTTTATTCTGTGATGTGCTTGCTGGATCTGAGTGGGAAGGTAGGACAACACGTGAGACAACTTTACTATGTCATTCTCATAGATTAGCCCTTCCCCAATACCAGCTCCCTGCCATTCCAACATTAGACTGGCAATGCAAACAAGTAGTATTGGAACTATACAAAACTCAGTCTGCCACTTGTCATGGGCGGACTAGAATTGGTTTCCTGGATCTCAACTGTAATGGTTAATATAGACCAGTAACTGGAAACTCTTTGTTCAATTTGTTTTCTTCTTCCTCTTTAGTCAAGTGGGTGCTGCTTTAAAAGCACTGATCATAAAGACAAAAACACTTGAGATAAAATCACTTTCCTCTTCTACATAAATATCTCAATTATATAGTGACATATTAAAATAATGGTATCATTTTCCAATGTATCTACTGTGCTGAATGTTGAAGCAGAACCAGCTTTTCATATATAAATAAATTTTCAGTTATTGTTTTCATAAAATAATTGTTGCAGTCATGGTTGACTACATTCTAGAATGACAGTGTACATCCTGCTGTAGGATGATGACCTCATTGGTAGCAAGAAACCTAAACCACTTATTCAGATGTCTTATTGGGCCTATCAGTGTTTGACTCCATACAAAAATAGAGTTCGGAAAGATGATGATTGTACAGAATGTACTCAAATATCTCTTTTGAAAGGATATATGACTAATGTGACAAAAATACAGATGTTGATAAATAAATGGAAGTACTTAACAATCAATCTTCTCAAAAGGTGTTACTTGCTAGTCAATTTGAAAAACAGTACTTAGCACTCAACTTAGAGGCAGTACTTAGTGAATTTGTGAGATAATAATTAACAGTCAGTTTGAAAGGCAACATGTAGCAAAAAAATGTGAGAAGCAGTACTTTAAATTTGAGGGGCAGTACTTAGCAGTCAAGTTAATGGCAATAGAGTGCTTAGCAGTCAAGTTAATGGCGATTAGATACTTAGCAGTTATGTTAATGGAAATGGGGGTGCTTAGCAGTTAAGTTAATGGTGGGCTTTTACTTAGTCAATTTACTGGTAAAGCAATACTTAGCAGTTAAGTTAATGGGGAGGTGGTGCTTAGCAGTTAAGTTAATGGGGAGGTGGTGCTTAGCAGTTAAGTTAATGGGGAGGTGGTGCTTAGCAGTTAAGTTAATGGGGAGGTGGTGCTTAGCAGTTAAGTTAATGGGGAGGTGGTGCTTAGCAGTTAAGTTAATGGGGAGGTGGTGCTTAGCAGTTAAGTTAATGGGGAGGTGGTGCTTAGCAGTTAAGTTAATGGGGAGGTAGTGGTTAAAAGTTAATTCTAGGGTGAGGTGGGTCTTAGCAATTAAATTAATGGTGAGGCAGTGCTTTGCAGTCAAGTCTAGGGTGAAACAGTGCTTTCACTAAACATCTATTCATTTCTGTCTATGTTTCTGAGATGAGGTATTGTAGCTATTTATGCGGTTCTGACTGTTGTCCTCATTTTTATTGCCATATTCACAATGTTTCGGCCATTGTACACTCTAATCTTCTTCAGGTGATATATGCTAAAAAAATAAAAAGGCATGACATGTGGAATTTAAACATAGACTAAATAAAGGGTTTGGTTTGAAATTCCAGCATATATCACCTGAAGAAGGTTGGAGCATACAGCAGCTGAAATGTTGTGTAAATGGCAATAAGGATGAGGACAAAAGTTCAAATGATGTAAATAGTGTAAATAATTATTCATTTAGAAAATAATTTGATGTTGACCCTAAGAAAGAAGATTTGTTCATTTTTACTCTATTTTTTTTTATTCTGTTTCTAATTTGTTGACATTTTCATTTTTTTAGTCCAAATGTTTTATTTATATTTATTAAGAAAATATTATTTTTACCTTTTAACATTTTCATTATTTCAGTTCCTGGCAGTTATTTGACCAAGAAGACAATCCCAGCTTTGCTGAAAAAATGGTTGTGAATCAGCTTGCCCATTCTGCCCTCTTAGTAAGTCCCATGAAATTTCTTTAACCTGTCTTCTTTTCAATTAACTTCTTAGTGGTATTTGGCAGCAAAAGTATTAAACACTATTCTTGTAAATAAATACTCTAATAAATAATATTTAATATTTTTGTTGTCAGTTCTTGAGGAAAAAAAATATTATTTTGCAAATGAATGAAATTTTCAATATTTATAATTACAGTTACTTGTAATTATGTGTTTATTGAAATTTTCTTGTTCAGACATTTTTATAGATTTATGGATAGAAAATTTTTTTTCATAGTTATTTCTTTATAATATGGTAATGATAATACATTGTAGTTGGTTCACATATTTTTACAAACTTGTAAATATAAAATTATTCTTTTAATATAACACCTTTTATTGCTGCCTACACATGCTGGTGTAACCACGTTTTAGTGGTCCAGTCCTCAGAGTCTTAGGAGGATGTTCTAACCATGGGACTAACTCTGAGCTGGTCGATGCTGATCCAAGCTGGTTGTTGCTTGCTGACTGTTTTGATTCACACCAACTCTGCCCATGATTTGTTCTTGATCTCAGAGTAGTGGAAAATTGAATGTTGTAGTCTCACAGTGCTGGTTCAAACTGTAGTGGGTGCTATATTAAGGAGAAAAAATATCTTCACGATGAAAAATAAATGAAAGATTTCTTGGGTTAATCTTCAGTTGGTTTATATAGCTTTTGGTATAACAAAAATTAACCCTTCCTACATCAATCTCTGTAGTGACACTGAGCCTTGTCTAAACTTCTGGAGAAGCTGGGTTCAAAGTTTTGGAATCAGGAAATCTGGTGGCAACTGATGTGGATTCCAGAAGCACTTGGTGTGGGTTCTCAGCCCAAGTCTTCAAGCTCTCCAAAATCATTTGCTTATATACACTTCAGCCCAAGTGCGGCTAAAGGGTTCTGGGGATTCAGTGATTCTCCAATTTTCATTAATACCATAAAAGGTTTTCTTTGTTCCCTATTTCTGCTTTCTTAATCAACTTTCCTTATTTGGAGAATTATGCATCTTCCTTGGGAGTAGTCACTTCTCCCATGACTCCAACCTGCTTCACTTTGCATCTCACATTGCTACTCTACACAGTATACCTTGTATATTAAACTCCAACTTGTTTCAAAACCTAATCCTCATTATTCCTTTTCTCTTGCAACCAAATGCTTATTATAACAGCAGTGTCAAGAGAAAAACTGTCCTTTTGACATATCTTTTGTTTGTGGGTACATTTATTAAACTTTGCCAAGGTTCTTTTGCAGTTTTTCTTTATTGCCTACTCATGATGGAGATTTGATTTAAAAAAAAAAAAAAAAATATGCTCATCTCCAGGGCACCATATTCTCCCGTTACAATTTCTGGTAAAAGTATTCCATTATGAATAAAGAATTATCTACTTGACAATATTCTTCTTAAAAAGTGTTCTTTGTCTGTTCAATATCTAACTATCTTCTTCCATAGAAATTTGAATGTAATCATATTAAATGAAACTGTGATCACTTGCTTCTCACTTTGTAATTTTACCAAAATTTAATTACAATTTATTAAATTTAAAGAAATGACCCTAACATTTTTATAATATAAGATAGCCTGAAAAACATAAACTTTCCTTTCTAGGCCAATCATTTCTAGACTTTTGTTAACTCATTTAAAATCACATATAAATCAAGTTAGCCTACCTGTCATGGGGGAATGACTGCACAACACTTTCCCCTCCCCTATTTATTGGTAGAAGCACACAAATGCATGCTGGGATTTCTTCCTATCCAATAAAATAGACCAATCCCAGTCTGTCTTTTCTTGAAGTCAGAATGCTATGTTTGCTTATCTGAATTTGCTTTTGTGTGTCACCTCCAATTCTTAGTTTTGAACTTTTTACAATATTACTGTTGATTTTCCTTATTACTGTTAATTTGCATGCAATATATTGTTTGCTTGCTTTATATTATTTTTTGGTCCTGTTCTTTTCTTTTCCTTGTTGTTGATTATTTCAAGCTTAGTCAATTCTGTTTGTTGGGCAGTTCTGGCATAACTGTTGTAACCCCTGACCTTCTTGTGTGTCTTGATCTGGGTAACCTTCTGAGAACATGAAATTTTGAACTGAACCCTTTATTTAATTTTACCACTTCAAGCCAAGCACGCCACTGTATTCCTGATCAAATAAAAATTGTGCCTGTGTTTCCTTCCTTTTTTATGGAAGAGTGTACACTGCTGGTGAACCAGATGTCATCTGCAATTGGACAATAAATTGCCAAGAAGAGTCATATGATGTGCATTTTGGAAGATGGAAAAAATTGTAGCTGATGGAAGGGTACACAAGTCGATACCCGATCAGTATCAGCTGGGTCACCATGGAAAGGGGGTATGATGTTGAAAGACCCGAAACCCCTAATGAACCTTGGCTAGAAACATCACTGATGATGTGTACTAAAGCATCCAATAGATGTATTTTACAAAATAGGGGTAGATTGTTCTTGTTCCACTGTCTATCTAGGGATATCTCATGTTGTTCTTTTTTAGTACTGCTCAGTTATTACACATGTAGAGAAGGGTCAAAGGTTCTTAGTAATATTTCTCTGATATTTCAGAAAAAAGGAAACATAATCAGAGATGTAAACAAATAGTATGATTATTTGTTTGACTTTGATTGGAGTTAGTCATTTGTAATTCAGGTTGGTGAAAGCCTGATTGGCTTGATAGTCAGAATTTGGTAGTTGCTGTCATTTTTTTGGCAGCTGTCAGAAATGTGGTTACTTTAGAAATAAGTGTGGTGTTAATCCTCGGTGTCTTCTTGCGCCTTAGAAGTGCAGATAAATGTCTTAAACAGATTCATGCGACACGCTTGGCTGGTTTCTCTTGTGGTCCTTTCACTGTTGGCTGTCTCATTATATCCACTTAAGGGCTCCAGCCTACTTGGCATGAAGTTTGATTTCAGCTAACATCAATAGTATCTTTGTTTTGTTTTTTTTAATTGGCCAAAATTCTTTTATTTTCTGGTGTTTCTTTCTTTTTCATTTTTTTTTTATAGAAGTTTTGTTTGGAGCCTTTCTTGTTTTGGTAGGTTTCTAGTCACACTAACTAAACCTAGTAAACATCCCCACTTTTGCAGCCATGTTCAGTCTTTTCATCCTCTATTTGAGAGTTGCCTTCTCATTAACTAAAAGCAAAGTATAAAAAGAGAGAGACAGAGAGAGACAAAAAGATATATGGGTTTTAAGGAAAGCAAATGCCTTATTTTAATTTAGATTTTTTTTATATATATTTTCATTTTTTTTTTCATTTTGGGCTCATCACAATAATCTCTCTGTGCAAAAGTTAATAAGTGGAAGAAAATATCTAAAAATAGAAGAAGTCATTATTTTTCTTTCAGACTTAGATTTATTAGTTTGATTACTCTTACTATCATCGACATTCTTGTATTATTTTCTTTGTCAGTCATGGTCTCATTTTTGTTTGTTTTATCTGTTTTACTGCAATTTATTTTATCTTTAGTAGACCCAATATAAGGTTTTAACCTATCAATCAATACCTGTGCATGGGTTCCATTGTTCATATCAATCATAAAATTTTTAGTTGACCATGTCAGAATTTTGTAGGACCCCTGAATAGGGTGCTGCTAATGGTTTTTTGACTTGATCCTATGCCATACTTTATTGTTGGAACTCAGTGATTTTGGGATGAATGTTTTATACCCGCTGTATGGAACAAAACCACATGTGATAGACCCTTTTCCAAGGCTAGTCCTGGGTATGATGATAAACTAGATCTGGCAAAAAGGCTTCTGATTGGGAGATTGGAGGTTTTGATAAACCTTGAACCACCTTTTAATTACTGTTGTTCCCTGGTCCAACCTGACCCTGGGTGGTAACATCTGTTAGGGTCTCAGCTATGGGAAAATAGTGAACCTCCAAATAAAAACAACATGAAAGTATAAAAATACTGACAATATATTTTATATAAAAAAAATTACCAACAATACCTATTTATTAAATTACCAACAATACATTTTATAGCAGAATTACCAACAATACATTTTATAGCAGAATTACCAACAATACATTTTATCTGTAATTGAAATTGCATTCAAAATATATTTAGTTGAAGCCATAAAAATTGTGTTCAAAATATTTAGTTTTCAGCAATATATCACCTATAGAAGTGCTGATATGCCACTAAACAAAATCAACCAAGATGAAAGAACTCTTTCATGACATTAATCCATTCTTGAAGAAATCAAACTGTATTTCGAAATATAACTTCAACAAAACTACAGCATAAAACACACACCTCTATCGCTGACTCATGTCGTACTGTGCAGCTCTGCGCTTTTGGAAACTTTGATCAAGCGGTAGTGTCTGTAAACATCTCTTTCCACTCGCCTACCATCCAAGAACCTCCTACCAACAGAATATCTTTCTGTTTTCAACAAGCAGATTGGGACTTGTTCCGTGATTTCCTTCCTGAAACAATGTATAGCATCTCAAGTTCAGTTCTAGAGATTATTGGTGGCTCTGCAAGAGTGTGCTGAACAACAGCAAATCCTCAACCCCGCTTCTTTTCTATCAATTCAAAGTCCTGACATTTACAGCAGATAAAGTTGAATGCTTTGCTCTGAAATCCTCTCCCAACTCAACACTCAACTCATTTGGAGTACCCACACCTGATTTCCCCACTAGAACAGAGGTTCTACTGTGATATGTGCATAACCCTGTCAGTAGTCTCAGAAATCAATTCTAAATTAGACTTCCATAAGGCAAGCAGAGGTGATGGGATTCCAGCTGTTGTCCTAAAGAAATATGTGCACAAGCTGGCTCCAGTTCTCTCCAAACTCTATAACTATTGTCTTGTTGCTTCCTACTTTGCAGCATGTTGAAAGTCCTCCTCTGTGGTCCCTGTTTTTAAAAACTCTGGAGAACCTTCTGACCCCTCTAACTATTGCCCTATTAGTCTCCTACCATTTTTCAGTAAAGTATTTGAGGCTTTAATCAATGCTGAAGTGTTTAAGCATCTTACCTCTCACAAACTATTCTCTGACAAACAATATGGCTTCTTTTTTGCCAGGTCTATCACTGATGTGCTAACAGCCATCACTGAATATATATATCAATACAGTATTACAGGATGATTATTTGGTTTAATCTAATCATTCCTATCAAATTGTGAAATGAAGGTTGTTTTGAAACACACAAAAGTAGCTGTCCCACAAGGCTCTATCATAGGTCCTACACTGTTTGTGATCTTCATCAATGATATTCTTGATGCCATCAGTTCCCAAGTAGGCATTTATGCAGATGACACTACCATTTACTTGTGTCTCAATAGCAAATCCATCAGAGCTGACAAACTTAACCTGGCCACTGCTCTTGAAATGGTCCTTGTATCAGTGGTTAACTGGGCTTGTAAATTTTAATGCCTCCAAAACAAAACTGCTCTCTTTTGACAACTATAGACTAATTTTCCTGCATGCCATCAGTATGGCTGATGCTAGACTCCTGGAGAGCAACAACCTGTGCTTTCTTGGACTTACGTTTTCAACTGACTTGAAGTAGAACAACTACATTGAATCAATAGCTGCATCTATTGCAAGGAAAGTTGGGTTACTGTGTCATGCCAGAAGGTTTTTCTTGTCCATCTTGCACATTTACAAATCTACCATTTGTCCATGCATTGAATACTGTTGCTATATCTGGTCTGGTGCTCCTGCTGTTCATCTTGAGGTTCTTGACAAAATCCAAAGAAGAATCTGCAATGTAATCGATCCTGACTTGGCATCTTGACTTCAATCACTTTCTCACTGACATGACATGGCTTCCCTTTGTCTTTTCTACAAATATTTTCATAGCAAATACTCTGACAGGTTTTTTTCCCTGGTGCCCCAACTACATGAATTTAACTGTGCTACTAGATTGGCATCTAGGTCCCACCCTTTTACTGCTGAAATAGTTAAATGTAACTGCCACTTCTACTCCAACAGTTTCTTTTCCTGCCTGTGTAACTCCCTTTCGTTTACTTGCTTTCCTGAAAACTGCAATCTTCAAAAATTTAAATGCAACCTGACATTGGAATCCCATTCATCTTTTATACTCTCCTTAATCCTCCCTATATCCATCTTTTCTCTCATTTTCACTTTAAATCAATCTCCAATGCTGGATACATTTTGTAGGATTTGGATGAAGTTTTGTTTGTGGCACCTTCCAAGTTCTAATACTTAGATAATTCCAAAGATGCAGATCAGACCATTCAGCTATTAGCAGGCTTTTTAGATGAATCTACAACCCTTGTATAGAATTGGGATTCTGAAGTCTTTGACTTGGTGGGAGCAGCTGAGGGTATATTTGCAGAAGATGATTTCTGCTTCTGTTGAGAGAATTCTTTTCATTTCTTTGAAGTATTTTTTATCAGAAGACCCTTGAGAGTTTGAACAGTTGACTTCTAAAACTGGCAGATCTGATGGAACTAGTGCTATTCACCCAACTTGTTTTAATGACTCATTAGGGCTGGGAAAATTTCATAATATTTATATATAGTGTTTCTTTTGTTTCCATATAAACCATGGCTTATGTGTCCTGGCTGTTCTGTGTCGTAGAGATGTGCTGTACATACTTTTGGCTTTTGATTTGGATGGAAAGGTATTTTACTACTTTGATATTGCACAGAAGGTACTATTTTGTTACTTGTGTCTTTACTTGTGTCTTGATAGTTGTAACACAGATGCATCATTAACAATCAAAGGCATCAGCTCATTTCCCTAATTCTACTAAAGGTATCTGCGACTGAGCAGCTATAACTGGCAGTAATTGTTGAGGCAGGGCTTGAATAAACAATTTGCCTAACAATTTCTTTGCTCATGCCCATATGGATAGCTATGGCCAGCATGTTCTGTATATAAACTGACAGATATCCAACTATAGTGGTGATTTTCATCAGCTTCTCTAAAAGTTCAGGTTTAATCCTTTCATAAGCTGAAATTACAGATTGCTTTGTTTGTAATTTTTTGACTTCAGTACAGATACAGGTAAATTAGTAACTACACAGTAGGGTACTTCTTTTATTTTTTGGCATGCCTTTCTTTTCCATTTTTTTAGCAGAAGTTGTGTGTGGAGCCTCTCTTATTTTGGTAGATTTATAGTCACAATAACTAGAGCCTGCACCAGCAAACTTCCCCTGTTTTGCAGCCATGTTCAGTCATCTTCTTTTCATTTGAAGATTGGCTTCTCATTAGTTTTTTAATTTGGATTCTTTTTTTTGTTTTTTATATATTTTATTTTTATATTTTATTTTATATTTTTTTACATTTGGGTTCAGCATACACACTGTTTCCACTCAGTTAAAAATATCACTGAGTCACTCTGTGGACAGACACTTTCATTTATGGGGTTCAGTAAAATAGTGGTACATAGGCATCCATTTTATCTTGTGAGATAATAGTAGCACCTTCTTTGGTCAAACATTCAACCCTTTTGCAAGCAGTGTCTGGAGTGGCTTAACAGACCACTCTCTCCAATTGTGACAGATGAGGATGGAATGTGGTATGAAGATCTGAGATTGCTCTCTCTGCTTCCTGCATTGTCTTCTGATCTACAATAGTTTCACTATTTGTCACCCTTCATGAGGACTCCTTAGCTAGCCACTGTGATTGTCTGCTAGCTGTTCCCTGCCAGAGTCAATGCCTGTGTGTTTCAGGTCTCTCTTGTAAATGTCCTTGAAACATAGTGCAGGGCAGCCTACTGGATGGTGTCCCATACATGATGTCTTTTGATATACAACCATCATTCATTTGGTAATACTAGTAATATCTTTGTATTTTGAGGGCACAACAACCAAAATATTATAACAACAAAGATAAGGACAATAGTCTGCATGTAAATAGTGTAAATAATATTTTTCAGCTGTTCAAACAAATTTTGGGTGATTAATGACTTTCCTCAAAGATGTAGACTTCTTAACTTTCTTCAGGGCTCTCACTCCTCCTTCAATATTTCAAGATTTTTCTTGTATTTTTTTGATCTTTGCTGAAACATTCATTTGAAAAAAACAAAATTGTCAGTAAAAAAGTGTAAATAAAAAAAAAACTTTATGGAGTAATTGGTCATGGTTAAGTGTAATTGACAAAATTCTTAACAAGTGGAATTGACAATTTTTGTCTGAATTTCTAGGATGGTGAGTTATAATTATTTACCCGATTTATATTTGGACTATTGTTCTCATCTTTGTTGTTATAACATTTCAGTCATTGCACCCTTCTGTCTTCCTCAGGTGTATATCAATCTGATTAACCTACAGGGAATTCTGAACTGAACCCTTTATTTAATCTACAGGGGTAGACTGTTCTCATTCCATTGCTCATGTCTAGGGATATTGTCTATTTTATTTAATAATGTTCGGTTATTGCTCACCCGTTTCTTCTGAGTGCAAGGGCACATTGCCGGACCAAAGGATTGAACTCACAACCACTGTCACCAGATTCACAAACCAACACTTTTATTCATTAGGCCATTGTAGATAAAATGGCCTAGTGGATAAAAGTGTTGGTTTGTGGATTTGGTGATTTCTCAATAAACAATAAAAAAAAAAAGAAAGAAAAAGAACGGAGCAAAATAATATTAAGAAAACAATATATATGCAATTCATAACTTGGCAAAGTAACAGTAATAAGGCAAAAAATTCACAAAGTGTTCACATGCAAAAGGGATACAGTCAGGTGGTTATAACATTCTGACGTCAAGACATGAAAGAACAAAAATATGACAGATGAGACTGAGAATTGTCCATTTTTATTGGTTAGGAAGAAATCCCAGCATGCATCTGTAAGATTTTTCTATAAATTTGGGGAAGATATATTCAGAGCAGTCATTCTTAGAGAGTGGGATCAACACTAAAAGTTATCAGATATGAAAATTAAGTCTATATCAAGATATTCCTAAAAAATAAATTTAATGTGTCTTTAAGATCTGAAATGTCAAATTCACCAACAAGTCGCACATACTTGCAGTTTGGGGTGGGGGGCGTTTGTCTGAATGTGCCTGCAATTGGGTATCACTATATTTCAATATGCAACCTTAACACCTGTCACACAATCCAACTAAAGGTACCCAAAACATACAACTTTTACAGAGTTATAGATATCCAAAACCATATCTCATAACCAATAATACGAAGAGAGACTAGGCAAAAGCATATTGTTTTTGTAGAGAAATAGAAAATTTCAAAGGGAAATATGAAAATTGTAGACTTTTTCTAGGAGGAAAAGAGAAGTTTTTAAAAATTGTTCTTGAATGATCTTGGTTTCTCAGGGAAAGCAAAACAAGAGAAGATAACTCATATAGGGGTTTATGTTTAGAATTTTTTTTATTTTATTTAATTTTTTTTATGCTAATTGAAATATACTTTAGAATCATTTTCTGATTCAGGACATAGGGACAAAATTTATGCCCAATGGTAATAAACCATCAAAAAAGGCATTCAAAAAATCTCACAAAAAAATTTATTTAAACTTTTTTTCTTCATCACAATGTCAAGAAACATTATATGGATCAAATTACATTAAATTTTATTTTATTTTTTAATTTAGAAACTTATAAATGAGAATGGTGAAGCAGGCCATGTTGAGAAGCACTTGTCAACCCTTTGCAAAAAAGTATAAAAAGGGAAATCCTTTTGATTACCTTGCCAAGAACCTTTTTTTTTTTTACTTTGTATATAAAACTGTGTATTAGCTTTTATCTTTGTATAATGTAGTGCACTGGTTTTGGATCTGTGATCTGCATTTATTGTGGGGGTTAGTCAGAAAATTGTTGAGTATTCACAGTTGAAAATTTTAATTAATATCATGAATTTAAAATTAGGATAAATGATCTTGATATTACAACACTGGATGAAAGATCTGTCACAAACTGGACAGCATATGACTGAAGATCTGCAACAGATTGCCCTATTGAACATGTCAAAATTGAACCTGATATTTTGAATTCATAGCACAATTATTGATAAACATAATTATTGTATACAGACCTATATAATATATTAGGATCTAAATAAATGTAATCCAGTGTAAATAAGTGACTTTTAAAGGTCAAAGTTTCCTTATTATTGTTGTTCATTAATTATTGTTTAAAAATTACAAGAAATGTGATACAAAATAACAATATATATATAGAATCTTTCCTTTATGGAAGGGGATCCTTGTGTTTTCAAAGTTTTGGTTGGTTGATTGATTTTATGACATGTCAACTCTTGTTAGATTAATTGAACTTATAGTGGACTTCATCCAATATTAATTTTTGTTTTCATTTATTGAACAAGGCTTCTTTTAAAAAAATTAACCAAAAAACATTGTTACATTATAAAATATGTATTTAAACAAGATAAAATATCAAACAATGTGAAGGAAAAAAATGTGTTTTAAGTAAGAAAAATATTGAATTAACCAAAAGTTGTCTCTCTTTTTAACTGTTATTTTATATATTTTAATGAGAATAGTCATTTAGTATCAAAGTTCACTGGAAGAATGTTCATGAAAAGTCTCTTGTAAAATTGTTCTTGGAATATATTGCTGTCATTCCAAGAAGAACATTTAGTACGAAAATGTCTATCTGATACGCATCAGCATATCCCAGTATTTTTTGAAAAAAAGTTTAGTGATGGTTAAATGTAAAATTAAAAAGATACAACAATCCAACAAACAGAATTGAAAAAAGTTTGTCAATAATAAATTGAGAAAAAAAAAAATATATAAAAAAATATGAAAAATGTGAAAATATTTTAACAGTATTAAGGCAAAAGTTCACAAACTAAAAAGAAATCTTGAAATGACACAAATTTAACAAGTTCTGACAAACGAACATAGCATTCTGACTTCAAAAAAAAACTAAAACTTTGTCATATGAAACCGAGAATTTGCTTGTTTTATTGGCTAGGAAGAAATCCCAGGATGCATTTGTGTAATAGATGTGACAGTGACTTACCAGAGCAAAAAATTAAAATTTGCCAGTTTCGCTTGTTGAACCATTTCCTGAGAATTTTTGTCAAGAAAAATAGAATTGGAAATTTTATGAAGCAGACTTTTTAGTTTGCATAAAGAACAATTTCTACCTATTAAAAACCAGGCGAGTGGATTTGGGGCATTAATCTTCTAGGCTTTTGAGACTAGACGATTGAAAGAAAAATTTATCAATTTCTGGACATTTTCTGGTTTGTCTGCATAAAAAATAAATTGAATCATTTTTTTCAGTCATTTCATAACAGGTTTGTTACAACATTTTTTTTTTTTCAAGGATGGTGATGTCTTGTTTGGTGGTCTGAAGGATGTAATCCTATTCAATACTGAAATCAAATACATTAATGATGGTTTTTCCTTTAACCCTACCTATTTAGGTTGTTTTTTTGATCAATATGCTAACCAGTATAAAAAAAAGAAAACATCACTGTTATACTACATTCAACTCACTTGTCTGGCTGTTAATTTTGGATTGCCTACTAAATACTTTTGACAATCTTTTTTTTATCACTTTGTCTAAAATTTGTAAAAACATATCTTTTTCTTTCAATTTTAAACACAATTCAGTAGTAGCAAACTTCTTTTGGATGGTTTGAGCTCCATTTCTGGAAATTCCTAGCTGCTTTGCAATCTATTGAGTCATCTTTACCTTCAAATCATAAGCTTCATCTTTGTTTCAGCAGAAATTATAGCCATAATTTTAGTGTAAAAAAAAAAACAACAAAAAAAAAACAAGCTAATTTTCAACTACAATGACTTGCCAAGGCATATTTCACTCATGTTAATAAGATGGAACAATTCCTACTTAGAAATTTTCATATTACCATGATTTATTATCACCATCTTTCATTGGCCTAATAGTTTTCAATGGCTTTTTTTCAGCATCAAGCATTGTATCATGTCACCTACAAAAACAAAACTTATTTTCCAATCCTCAAGGTCCACAAACACTAAACAATCTTATCATATTTTCTTGTCTATAATATGATTTGAGTTTAATAGAATCCTGTATTTCTGAAGCTAAAACAGGAAGTAAATAATATCCCTGTGTATAATGTAAATTCATAATATCCCTGTGTATAATGTAACTTCATAACACAGCCATTTGTTTGTAATTTTTTAAAAAAAAAATTGTATCATTATTATTCATTAAAATCTCTGTCGTACATATATTTCACTAAAATATTAAATTTTTCACAATATTAAAGAATAAAAATGAACTGGCTGTTTAGCTATTGCATGTTGATTCTAATTTCTGTTTCAAAACTTATTTTTGATTTTTGGGGAAAGGTACTTTGTTGTAACATTTTTGGGGAAAGGTACTTTGTTGTAACATTGTTATCATAACATGACAGATCTTGTGTATTGCATTTATGAATTGTTTTAATCAATTTTATATTTTTCCTGGTCTTTTTGTAAAGACATACAATTATATTGATTCCCGAAGAACAAACATTGCTGATATATCAAATACCTTTTATAAACAATTGTTATCAACACATGCCTTTGTGTTTTATTATCTGTTGTGCTGAATATATTTGTAATATTGGTGTTTCAAATAAGAGGTTTTTTAAGCTAAGTAAAAATTTCTGAAAACATGTACTTGTGTACAATGCAACCTGACATTTTTTCCCTTTTAATTTTCATTCAAAATTTCTAAGAAAATATGGTAACTTCTTAATAAAATAAAGGTGTGTAATCATTTTATGTAATTATAAATATCCAACTTTTTATATACATATATATATATATATATATATATATATATATATATATAAATAAATATATATATAGTGGTTCCAACGAGAGAAAAGTATGTATATTAAAAAAGAAGAGGGGTGCCGCAAACGTTTTTGGTTGTAATGTGGATTTATTTAGAAAAAATATTATGCTTTGTTTTACATAATTTTACGACACGTGTTTCTGGTCTCGTCTCGCAACCGTCTTCAGGTAAAAGTGGAGATTTCTACATATTATTAAAAATAATTAATTTTTCTTCATGTTCAATGTTAAATATTCTCGATATGAGACATTCTCTGTTTGTGTGTTGGTAATCCGAATTTTCTTTCTAGAATTGTCAATGAAGAGTTCTGCGTGAAGGGTCATAAAACAATTAAGGTTTGTCCAGCGAAATGTAAAATTATATTATCGGCATTTTATCTTTTAATGTTTTAGTGACCCCTATGTGCTCTTGGATCTGTTTCCATTTTGGTGTGTTCCTGTCAGCATGGTGTATATATGCGTGCGTATATTTCCCCCAGAACATATATGTCTTACTATTGTATTTATAACTTATACACCTATATACACGCATACACACACATATATACGCATACACACTATCCCATACAAAACACAGTATACACACACATATTTCCCAAAGTACATGGAACCAGTACATACACACACACACATCACATTCTATAAACACACACACACACACACAAAAACTTTTAAGTTGTCAACATCCGCATATACATACATAAATGTATGTATGTATATAAACATATATATATATATATATATCTCTCCTCGTGTCTCCCATATATGAGTGTGCGTCCATGTATGTGAGCGATTTGATCATTGTATTTGGTCACCCTTGTGCATGTTTTGTTTTTTGGGGGGTTTACGATCTATTTATTTCAGGGTTTAAATTTGTCTATAAAGTTTTTTTTCCTGTATTTGTAGATACGAGTAATTGTCTGTTTGATATATCGGCATGATATTAAATCTTACCCTGGTTACATTTGAAAATGTGTTGTGATACAAAAAAAAATTCTGTTGTCTGTCAATTTTATATTGCTTTTGTGTAGGGAGACCCTGTTGTTCAGTTGTTGGCTGATGCCTATATATGACTTCTTACATTTTGTGCATTTAAGTGCATAAATTACATTTTTGGAGTTGCAGTTTAAGTTTTATTTATTGTGAATGTTTTTTTTTAAAAATCAAAAAGTGTAAGAGTTTCCTTCTATAATGATGTCACAAACCACCATCTTTTTTTTGTTGCATTTTGTGACTCCCTGTATTTTGTGTTGGTTAAATTTAGATGAGGTTAATATGTGTTTTAGGTTTCTAGATTGGCGTTTGCTCTTAATTATTTTGGTTGTTTTTAGTATATTGTTCAGTTTATTATTCTTGCTAAGTAAATCTAGATTTTTTTGTGATTTCTGGGAATATTTCTGGATTGTTTTTGTTGTACGTTGAGACATATGCTAGAGTTTGTTCGACGTTACGTTTCTTTTTCAATAAGTTGGTCTAGAGGAATTTCTTTCGCAAGTTCAATACATTTGTTTATTAGTTTTGTGGGGTAAGACAGTATATGTATGGAGGGGAAATATACGCACACATATATACATGCATGCTGACAGGAACACACCAAAATGGAAACAGATCCAAGAGCACATAGGGGTCACTAAAACATTAAAAGATAATTTGCTGATAACTACTCTGTGGACCAACCTTAATTGTTTTATGACCCTTCAATTTAGAACTCTTCATTGACAATTCTCGAAAGAAATTCGGATTACCAACACACAAACAGAGAATGTCTCATATCGAGAATATTTCACATTGAACATGAAGAAAAAATTAATTATTTTTAATAATATGTAAAAATCTCCACTTTTACCTGAAGACGGTTAAGAGACCAGACCAGAAACACGTGTCGTAAAATTATGTAAAACAAAGCATAATATTTTTTTCTAAATAAATCCACATTACAACCAAAAACGTTTGTGTGGCACCTCTCTTCTCTTCTTTTTTTATATATATATATATATATATATATATATATACACATATATATATTTATAAATATATATATAAAATATATATAAATGTTTATATTGTGATATATTTTCCTTCAGGACTTCATCAGACTAAATTTGTTCTGTTGATACAAATACACATATGCACGAATGAGCAGTGCTAGGGATTTTGGAATATTTTAGAAATTTATATATTTATATATATATTTATACACACACACACACACACATGTACTAAGTCTAGCTTAGCATATAATAAATATATATATATCTTTTTTTATATTTACAGATAATATACTGCTGAATGTTAAAGTTAACGTGCATGTGTTCCCAATTGTCCAAGGCCTGTTGTTGTCAACCAATGTTGTTCTTTGTTATTTTCACAACCATCCGGATGCTCATATTGGACAGATCTCTCATCTCAAGCAATTGCATACAAAACTTGAAAAGGTAATTGTTACTGATGAACTAGTTGAATATTTGTCCTATTATTTAAATAGGGACCCATTGGTAATTGACAATATATTTTGTCATCATTTATGTATCATACAGTATACAAGGGATGTCTGAAAAGAAAAATAAAGATAGGCATTCATAGTGCAACAGTGGGTATGCAATACTTCTTGTAACAGCCAGAACAGCCTTAATATTGAGTACATTCATATGTGACATTGCAACAAAGTTGACTGCTACCATGCAGACAAATATAGAAATATAAATTAATTACATGAGACGATTTTGAAATTTTTTTACTTTGACATATTTCAGCGATGAACCAAAGTCATTAGAAAAATAATTTTATTTCACAATACTCTGGCTTATTGTCAAAATATCTCCAATAGAAATCTTCCAAACTGTCTTATATATGTACCATTCCACTTGATTCTCATTCGATTTTATACAAACACACACACTTTAAAATGTTCTATATTTATAGAGGAAATTATTTAAATATTACTTAAAGTAATTTAGATTTATTTTATTTTTAGCTTATTACGACAAATAGTTTCTTTTCTTTTTATTTTCAGATGAGAAACCTCCATCCACTGATCCAGTCACTAATACGACAAGTATCATAAACTAAGGAAAGATAACTCTTCTTCAATTATTTTTTGTTATCTCCCTTGTCATATACCCTTGCTGACGACACTTTTTTTTTTTTGCTATTCATTTTATTTGTCTTTCAATAACTTTGTACATCACCTAACGTCAGAAAACTTGTATCGATCAATATCTTCAGAATCGGCACTTCCATCACATCCCCATGATTTCCAAGGCAGGCTAAAAAGTATTTTGTGCGCAGGATCTCTAACTTTTAAGTTTCCATTGACCAGAACTTTTTTCATTGATTAACTTTCAACTAATCTAGTTGGATATTTTTTGTATTGTCTTATACGCTGTCAACATGACAATGTACACCACAAAAATGTTATAATATTAAACATAATAATATTTTAGACATTTTGAGTTTGTAGTGATTTCATAATTCAGCAGTCAGTTTTCCCAGACCAGCCTTGGAATTAAAAGGGAAGAGGTAGGATCTGCTGAATCTGGATAATTATAATATCAATCACCCTTTCAATTTAAATATAAAAATATCATTATTATTAAATTAACATTGATTTTTGTTCTTCTTTCAAACAGTTCCAAACCATATAACTGTAACAAATCTGTTTTTTGCCTTTGAATTTAAAAAAAAAAATAAATTTCAGAATAAAACCACATATCATTTGTTTACATTATAATAAAAAAAATAATGCAAACATGAGAAAATATGAAAAAAAAAATTTTTTTAAATAAAAAAAAAAAAGGAATATAAATCACGGGTTCATTCTATTTTGACAGTATTCCCACTACAAAACTTTTAAAATTTTGACTGTCCCCAAATTGACATTTCAAAAAAAAAAAAAAATTCTTCTTTGACCAAATCATTTTGGGTCATCCAAGGTAATCATTTTAAATTTGTCACTGTATTTCTATCTGTACAATAAATTGTAATCTAATCGTGTATATTACTGATGATGTACTAAATTATAACATCATTTAAAACATGGCTGATTGCATAAAAAAAAACAAAATATAAAAAGAAAAAGTTATAAAGATTTTGAAGCTGATCAACACCTAATATTGAAAATTTAAAACAGAAAACACATGATTTTGAAGTCAGTGGCATCATAGAGATACCAATATTCACAAAATTTTTTTTCTTGTTCTAAGTTCAGGAAAAAAAAATCTCAAGTCATTTTATTGGTGTGCTTATTATTTTAACTCATACATGAACGAATAAATGACTAGGAATACAGTGTGATGGGAAATATTCCCCATCTAACTATTTCATTCCTTACTTTCACAGATTTCAGGGAACATTCTACTAGAAGCATTTGTTTTGTCTTTCTTTTTTATCACTAAATCTTGCATTGCATTCTACTGTTATGATTGCAAACGGTTAGAAACAGACAGTTCTTAAAACTTTCAAATACAGAAATTTGTGGTTGTGCTAACATCATAAAAAAATATTTGAATTTTTACTGTTATGGTTTATCTTAATATACTACAACATTGTCCAAACAGGGCTGAATTTCTACAATTCTATTCTTCAAAATTATTCTTACAGTTGGTTAAATTTACCCGGAATTATTATTTTACTTATATATAAACACCTGGAACTGGCCTTAGAACACTGACCATATTGTTTTACTCTTTTATGGTCATAATTTCTGTTTACTTTTAAAATCTGCCAAGTAAAGAAAATTTGAATATCCACATACATTCTTTGTTTAAACTTTTTTCAGCATTTATTAAATGTTTTTATATTCTATCCTTCCTTCCTTCCTTTATTGAAAATATAAATTTTAACAAAATAAATAAATTCATATAAATGATTACTAGTTGAAAATAGAACATTTTCAAAATCAAAATTATATGCATTAAAAAAAAAATTTCTTTTTTTTTAAAAATAAAAACAATTGTGAAAGTTGTTTTACATCTAAACATTGTAATTTAATATTAGATATTTATTGTTGAATATACTTTAGTATACTTTTTAATAGTTAAATTGATTTGAATTTTAAAAACACTATAATTTTGCAATAACAAAAGAAAAAGCATTTTGCATGCAAATATACCAAACACTGGCAGAAATTTAATAAAAACTATTATCAAATTACAAAACTAATTTTTCTTTAAATCTGACTCAAGTGAAACAAAACTGCAAGAATTTATAAACAAATGTATAAATTAAGCTTTTTATGCAACTGCACAAAGTGTGGCTATTAAATAATAAGATTAATGGTGTAATTCAATTTTAATGAAAACTTACATTTCAATACCTTTTCATTATATTAACATTCTGTATTTAAAAACAAAACCGTTCTGTTCTGGTCTTCCACTGATGAAAGCTGCACAGTTGGTCTTCCAGTAGTTGTCTCAGAAACTTGGTCATATTTCTGACCATTACATCCTTTGAATGCAGACTTGATTTTAGAGAAAGTAAATGCATTCTTTCTTAAAAACTTCATTTAGCATGCAAAAAGGTTCAGTAGCCACTTTATTCAATTTCACCTGAAATTTCAAATTTACACATTGCTTGATATTTTAACCCAAATTTCTTCACAAAAAAAAAAAATGTCTGCATCAAGCAATGCTTAATTGTGAACTAAAGACATGAGCCAATCAAATCATTCAGCAATTGTTTGTTTGCTCATTTTTCAATTTATATCACATGATTGACACATTTGTGTTGTGGTTTGACTTACATGAATCCAGGTTTGTTATTTAAAAGCCACACTTTGTATACTAAGTTTTTATTTTTCATTAAACTCTACTTGAGATTTTTAGCAATTAGATAATTAGCTTTACTAAAATAGTATTAAAGCTATGAATAAAAAAATCCAAATGTTTATTTCGATATAAATTTGTTCAAATGTGAAATGATAATTTAACTTATATGCTTAATGTTTTCATAAACTTATTTCTCTGTTTAGTTTATAGAACATTTACACACCTTTTAGTAAACAGAAAATGAATTTTTTCCTCTTATCTAACTAGAGAACACAAAGGTGAAATTAATTTAAATTTATCAATTCCATTATCTTTTTGGTGTTAGTTAAAAAAAAAAACCTGTTTACCTACAAATAAAATTGTGGAGAATTGAGTGTAATTGATATGAGTAATGATCAACAAAATATTTGTTTGTTTTGAAACCACTGAATTTTTCACAGTTACTTTGATAAATATTTGGCCATTCTAAAAATAGACTTTGATGTAGATATAAATCTATGCCTATATATGACTAATTTATATATATATATATATATATATATATATTTATATATATATATATATATAATTTATATATATATATATATATATATATATATATATATATGAAAAAAATATGTATATTTAGGAAGCATATTTTGATTCAAGCATATTTGGTTAAATAATTTAGATGGATTATGTCTATTTATTTTAGTTTTAATCCTTTCAAGTCAACAAATTAATTTATTGGTGGCTGTAGAAAATTGATCAAGAAAATTCCAAAATTTTCTTTCAACTAATTTTTACTTTCCAAGTACTTTGAATCTCATCTGAGACAATCTGTCGGAGAATATGCTTTTATATATATATATATATATATATAAATATAAAGGCTATAGTTTATATTTATATAAAAACTATAGTTTTATATATATATATATATATATATATATATAGAAAGAGAGAGAGAGACTATAGTTTATATATATATATATAGCTAGAGAGAGACTATAGTTTATATATATATATATATTTATATATATATATATATATATATTTATATATATATATATATATATATTATTTTTTCTTAGGGTACAGCATGATGAGCTTTTTACCATTCATGATTAAAAAGAAGAAAGAAAAAATCAGCTGATTGGCTGCTCAATTCTTTTTTTTTTAATCATGAATGGTAAAGTTTGTCTTGCTGTTTTAATTTCCATAAAATATATATATATATATATATATATATATATATATATACATATACACACAGTGCATTTCAAATTATTAATGAGGTGACACTTTTCCATCTTATCCAAAAACTACTGGTTGGAATTTAATAAAATTATCAGAGAATGATGACAACATCTACATACACCTACTTTGCAAAATGTTATAATGTTCTAGAAAAAGAAACAGAAGTTACGTTCATTTACCTAATTTACTTAAATTATTTGTGTGTCAAATTATTAGCGAGTTGTAACAAAAACTTGTGTAAAAAATAAAATAGCACTTTAATTGCTTCATTTACAGATTTTTATGGATACATAAACTAAGATGAAATAAAAAAGTATACAGAATTCAAAAAGGATAGTGGAGTTCATTAATATGAGATATGTGATCTTTATTAAAATGACTTTGAAAAGACTCTGGTCCATCGAACGTGTCAATTTCTGGATCTCTGCTGATATAATTTCACATGATACATTGACTATTTCCTGCCATAAGCCACCCTTGCTTCTAAATTGGCATCCATTCTCATAAACACGTCACTTCAGAATGTTCTGCAAGTTTTCAGTTGGGTTTAGGTCTAGAGAATTGACTGTCCTGTTCATCTTCCAAGGTCCACAGAAGCTTAATTTCTGCAGGTAATCCATAATTTTATGCACTGATTGCAAAGGAGCATTATCTTGCATAAATATGATGGTTCTCTGAAGGTGATTCTTTGCTTTTTTAGCCAAGATTCCAGGTGCTCTTTGAGGAAGGCTATATATGCATCTGCGGTTATTTTCGTACCATCAGGCACTCTCCATGTACCAACCATGATAACCTCCAATAATACCAGCCCAAATCATAATACCACCTCATCCTTGTTGGTGTGTCAAGTACTGATGATGATCTCTTCCATTTATGACACAACCTTTGCTCCAACAATCAGGGCCATCAAGTGTTGCATGACTTTCATCTGTGGACAGAACTTTCGAGAAATTGATCTTTATGTTCTCCTTTGCCTATTTCAGACATATTTGTATATGTACTTTTGTAAATTGAGGCTTTATCACTGATGTCTTGACCTTTTTCAGAAGACAAATAGTGA